ACCAGATGCAGGGTCTGCGCATGTTGCACACTTGCCGGGGTCTGAATGGTGAAAGCCCAGGTTTAGGAAATGAAACTTTAAAATAGGAGCTGGGCCTCCCCGGTGGCACAGCAGGTAGGGCGCAGCGGGTTGAGCGCAGCGCTGTGAAGCTGTCTGCAGCCTCCGCTGTGCCGGTTCAATTCCTGGACAGCCAGGTAGAAGCCCACATGGCATGGCAGACCTCTCCTTCTCACCCACTGCTCCCCTCAGCAGTGTAGTTCATCAGTCTGCCTGTTCTGTTCCCCACTCTGTCTCTGTTGAATCCTCTCACCCTCCCGCAACTATGGCCTGGCCTGTACCCCAGCTCTTGTATTAAAAAAAAAAAAAAAAGGAGCCAACTTGTATTGGCTGATGTGGCCATCTATCTCTGGCAGAAAGCCCTGGCCACTCAGTCAAAGCTGCTTCCCCTCCTCCACTTTAGACAGTAGTTCAGGATGTTGAATGCAGCCCAGCCCAGCTCCACTGTGTGGCGTTTAGAAAGACAATGGAGATGAGACACAGCTCCTGAAGACCCAGTTTAATTTGCTCTCCTGTATCTACTAGCCCTTTTGATGGTCACAGTGAAAACAAGGAACTTCAAGCAAGTTCGTTTACTTCAGAGGGGTTGGTTTTGTAACCCTTTTTTCTTAAAAGTATATCATTCCTTTATTCTAAAGTCTCTCTTAATTCTACCACTTCCCAAAGACCCTACCTCTTAGGTTACTAAATAATTTGATTGGAGTCTGCTAATCCATCAGTTTCTGTGTTTCTTACAGTGTCCAACACTGGGTGCAGTCTTAAGTTCAATTTAAGAAATATCCCTGAGCCAGCTGAAGCTTCCAGTCATATTGCTCCAAACCTCAAAAATCTCATGACTTAAATGGAGCCGGACCCAAGGAAAACTGAGGGCCTTGTCTGCTGCCTAGGGAGTGGCCCTATATCCTAGGTCCTTTCTGCACTCAGACTGGGAAGGATGGCCTACGGAAAGGAGGAAGTCCTCTGAGCCTTGTGATCCCACCCTGCCTCCTCACTGCCAGGACTGGGCTTGGGCTTTTCACATAACATGGCAGCACATTCAGTTGCTGGACCTGTACAGAAGGCTGCCCTGAGTTCTTTACATCTCCTTTTAGTGCTCACAAGTCTGACTGTGAGACCTGGCCCTGCCCATCTTTTATGCCACAGCCAACAAAAAGACCTTCTCTCCTTGCAGAGCTGCCAGATCTCAGAAAGAGCCTATTCATAACTGGCTATGCTGTTCCCTCTGTAGGGGGTGGGGTAAAAGGGCTGAGGACCTTTTCAGACCTGAGAACTGCAAAAAAGTCTGAAGCTGTCCTCTTGTCTGAACACTGATTGCTGAAGAGTCAAAGATAAAGCCCCTGAGATCTTGCAAAAGGAAAGGATACCTTCTGGGTTTATTTGAGTAGATTTCTCCTAAGATATTGCCAAGAGAAAGGGAGCTAACAGAAATATTGATAGGCCCCAGAACAGTGATTCTCAGAGAAGCTTTTGGAGTTCTTATTAAAATGCAGTTTACTGGGCTCCACCTCTAGAGGCTAATTCGGTGACTGGAAGTATGTGCATTTTAAACAGGCTTAGGGTCATATTTTGCCTGAAAGCCGAAGAGGCAGACTTGGAGTTCTGGGAGTTCCCACCCCCAGCCTGAGCTTTTTCAGTAATTGTCACAATACCAACCAGCCTGTAGCAGAGCCTCTAAGATTCGCAACTTGATGTTCTTAAAGCACCCAGGAAAGCTCTGGCCCCTAATAGACCTGTTAAGTTATATCGGGCTCTAGCTCAGGGTAGGAGTACTAGAGTTCCAGCTTTACTGGCAAGATGAGGAAGGGGGTCACTATGAGAGAAAGTGAAAGCAGATTGGAATGTGGAAGTCCTACATTGACTTTCCAAGCTGGGCCACTGCCTGCATGGAGGGCCCATTTATGAAGATACCTCTTGATACCTTGAGGATCCTTCAATTCAGTGAGGACTGAAATAAGAGTCTTAGAATACTTAGAGAGTTTGTTAGATAATCAAAGTGAGGATTCAAAACTGGGAAACAGTTCAACAGATTTACTCTGAGAACTACTCTGACAATCACAAGTGTGAGTTCAGTTTATTTGCCTCATCTCAGAGTTGCTTATATATGCATGAGAGGAACAATGAATCACGGATGTCAAGAATTATTTGTGTCTTATAGGTTTGGATCTTTCACTTTCCTTTTTTTTTTTTTTGACTGTTTATGCATACAAGAACTGGGGTACAGGCCAGAGGTGTGGAGGGGTGAGAGGATTCACCAGAGACAGAGTGGGGAGCAGAACAGGCAGATTGACTGAAATATACTGCTGAGGGGAGCAGCAGGCAAGACAGGAGAGGTCTGCTGGGACATGTGGGTTAGTTCCCTGGCAGGGGATCATGTTGCAGTGGCTGTGGATAGCTTCATAGTGCTGAGACTTAACCACCAGGGAGGCCCTTCTTTCTTCTTCACCTAAAGAAACTGATATTTTCTGTGTGCAGACAGGGGCAAATGCTGGGGTTTAATCATTTTCATGACTTCTCAAGAATGCTATGAAGACACAAATGTACCTATCATTTAAATCTTTAGGGGCTACTTGGTCATTAGTGGAGAGTGAAAAGTTGGTTTCCCCACCACAGGCAATAGATATCTGCATGGCTGCTTCACAGAGCAGGAATAAGACTGCTCTGACTGTAAGCCTGTTTAGATAGCTTTGTTCCTTGGCTGCTAGACTCCACAAGTGAGCACACGGGGTTCACTCTACCTATCTATAAAAAGACAGCTTCCCCCCAAACCACCACTACTAAGATTCTCTTCAGCTTGACTTCCTGCTGTTCCCCAGCCCCTGCAACTTGCTTCAGGTCTTTATCCTCAAGTATGGATGCTTTGACAGGGGCCAGAAATAACTCTCCCACTCACCATTTGCCCAGTACAACTAGAACAGTACCTGACACATAGTTAAGTTCCCATTAATTATTTATTGCAGGAATGAATAAATATAACTGGTCAATAAGGTAAAATAATCCTTACTGGACCAGTGCCTGGGTAGTAAGTAAGTCAGGGGGAATCTATCAGGATGTGGCCTTTTATGTTCCCGCTCTTTAAACATACCTAATTTGTCTTAAAAAGAAATTCATATACACTGTAAAAAAAATTGTAAATATTTAAAGGATATAAAAACAAAAAAAAAAAAAACATCCACAAACTAGCAATTTTTCTCTATGTACTTATAGAATTAGAGGAAAATAAGGTACATGCTATTTAAAAACCACTTGTGATTAGGAAGATAATCATTGCTAAATTTTATGCATTTTTCAAAGCTTTTTATGCATGTCTAAATATTTGAAAAACATATTGTTTGTATAGTGTCATCTTGTGAATTCTCTGCTTACATCCATAAAGTGTTAAGCATAATTTTTTATTACCTCATGATGCTTGTGCATTTAACCACTCCTTCATCATGGACATTTAAGCTGATTCTTCTATGCTTTATATTGTAAATATCATGATGATCAGCATAGTTCCCCACACATTTTTATCTGTATTTCCTATTTCTTTAGGATGAAGTCCCAGAAGTGGAATTATTGGGTCAAATAATATAAAACTCTTTATAGCTTCCTGAAACAGTGCCAAATTTTTTGTAGAAAAGTTTTCACTAGAACCGAGTCACCAATCTTTCTATAGATGCCTCTATAGAGAAAAGAAATAGCCACACAAGCTTGAAGGATTCCCTGAAGCTGCATATAGGCTGCAGTGGGAAGCGAGAGCACATCGAGCTGTTCTGCCTCAGTTTCCCCTCCACCAGTAGGGAGGCCGTCCAGTGTCCTAATTCTTTGTGGTGCTTCCTTTCTTAAGGTCTTGGGGTGGGGGTGAGGGGGGGGAAATGGACCTGGGTGGAGTAGGGATAGGAGATCCCGACGTTTGAGCAAAGAAAATAATTTGTCAGGCCTCCTTGTTGGCACGAGGGGTTAAGCACCATACTATGACGCAATCTGCACCTCTGCAGCATGAGTTTGATCCCCAGCAGGCCAGGGAGCTACCCACATGGCACAGCAGACCTCTCTTCACTTGCCCACTGCTCCCCTCAGCAGTGTATTTCATCAATCTGCCTGTTCTGTTCCCCACTCTGTCTCTGGTGAATCCTCTCACTCCACGCATCTCTGGCCTGTACCCCAGCTCTTGTATGCATAAATAAATAAATCTTAAAAAAAAAAATTTGTCAACAAGAATACAACATGTGGGGCCTCCCTGGTGGCTCAGGGGCTTGAGCACCACACTATGAAGCAGCCCGCAGCCTCTGCAGCATGAGTTTGATCCCCAGCCTGCCAGGGGGCAGCCCACATGGCACAGCAGACCTCTCCTGTCTCACTTGCTGCTCCCCTCAGCAGTGTACTTCAGTCAATCTGCCTGTTCTGTTCCCCGGCTCTATCTCTGGTGGATCCTCTCACCTACCCCCACCCCCACGGCCCCGCATCTGTACCCCAGCTCTTGTATGTATAAATGAATAAATCTTAAAAAAAAAAAAAGAATACCACATGTGTCGATCCTTCACAGAACAGCCGTCCATTCCAACGTGAATTTACAGACTGGCTGGATAATGAAAGAGGCGCTGGCGGAGGCCTCGCAGGTGGCCTAGGGGCTAAGTCTCAGCGCTCTTACCGCGACAGCCCGAGTTCGATCCCCAAAGGGAGCTAACCCGCTGGTGAATCCTCTCACCAGCAAGCCCCCCTCTCCCATCTCTGGCTTACGCCTCGGTTCTCCTACGCATAAATAAATCTTTTAGAAAGAAAGAATAGCCATGAGAGTTGGGGACGGCGGCGCGTCTCTCCCCTCCGGTTCCTTTAAGACCCGATCCGGAGCCTGGCCCTTTAAATCGGTGTCGGTTTCCCGTGACGTCAGCGGGCGGGCCGGCGGCCCTGCTGTTTACCGCCCCCCGGCGCCGCACGCCCGCGGGAGACCGGGGCGCCGAAGCCGACGCGTCCGCCAGCCCTTAAAGGGCTCGCTCCCCCGAAAAGCCGCGCGGCGCGGAGGACGGCGGCCACCACCTATCACGCCCCCACCCTCGGACACTCCTCCTCGCGCCCGCCCCCGCCCCGCGCCCTCCTCCTCCCTCCCTCCCCCCTCCCATTCCCGGCGTCTCCGAGCTCCCGGCAACCAGCCGCCCCTCGCTCTCGGGGCCCGGGCCGGCCGCAGCTGGGTCTCGGGGCCGCGCTCAGCCCCCCGGAGCCGGCCCCGTCCCTCGCCCCCCGCCCGCTCCCTCCCTCCCCACCCCTTCCCCGCCGCCCTCGCCCCTCGCGGCCCCCGGGGAGCGTCTCCGCCGCTCCTGGGAGGGGACGTTTCCTAATCTCGGGCCGGGGTTAAAGTTCTGGTCCGGGTGAGATGCTGGAAGCCGCCGCCGGAGCCGCAGCCCGCCCCGGAGGTGTCCTGTCGCCCGTCGCCGCCGCCGTCCCCACCGCTGCTGCCGCCCGGCCGGGGCCATGTTCGCGCTGGGCTTGTCCTGCTTGGCGCTCCTGGTGGCCTCTGTGGACAGCCATCTGGGGGTGCTGGGGCCCAAGAACGTCTCGCAGAAAGACGCCGAGTTCGAGCGCACCTACGACGACAAGGTCAACAGCGAGCTGGTCAACATCTACACCTTCAACCACACCGTGACCCGAAACCGGGTGAGGGATGGGGCAGGCGGGGAGCGGGTGGAGGCCGGGCCAGGTGGTCCTTGCACCCCCCTGGCCTCTCCGGGGCCTCAGGAACTGCCGCCCCAATGGGTTTCGTTTCCCAGAACTACCTTGGGACCGCTCGGTTAGACCCCCCTTTGCGGTGTTTCTCTGAAGCCCCCACTGGACAGTTTCTGAAGTTGTCTCATTCCCATCTTCGCCTGGACCCTTCCTTTACAGCAGCTGTGGTCTGAGCAGGATTGGCGGCTGCCTACACAACACCCAGAATTGACAACTCTGGTCTGGGTGCAAAGAGAAGAGTCTTGCTACAGGGCTTGTCCCAGAAACTCCCCAGAGGCATGGGGCAGGCCCCAACTGAAAGCCTCTGCCCTAGCAAGTTACAGCCCCGATATCCCAGGGAGGTGATCTGGGGTGATTGCTGGACTTGCAGGCTGCTGTAACTGTTGGGACCTTCCTAGTCCTGCTCCTGCCCTAGAAAACCAGCTGGCCTTGTAAGCTGAAGGTAGAGATAAGGCCAACTCCAAGTTGAGTGGGAGGAGAAAGGGAGTTTGTCTACTGTGGAGAATCCAACGCATCTTTACTTCTTCCCCAGGCCCCAATTGGATATGGCATAGCTAGAGGGGAAGTCCAGACCCAAGGCAGAGCTGAGATGTGAAAAATTCTTGTTTCTCAGTTCTCTCAATGACTGGTCTTATTAAGAAACAAGGAGATGAGAATGGAGAAATCTGCTTTTTTCTCAGGCTGGGGAGTGACTCTGTGGCAGGCCAAGTTTTGCCTGGGTTGGTGAAGTTTGAGTTTCTGCTTATCTGGGGTCACTCTGAGAGCTGTAAGCTTGGGTTTTGGTAGCCCATAACAAGCATTCCTGTGATTTGTTGATTTATTTATTAAGCTCTCACTGTCCTACCTACTTTCCTGCACAGCACCAGGGGTGAGAGGGTCCCTGTTTTATACAGGAGACACAGAGGCTCAGTGATGTGCAGTGACCTCTTCCTCAGCCCCATCCCATGGTCAGAGCTAAGGCTAGAACTTGGCTCTTTTGGTTTTCAACAATCCCTGTCACCCCACCCCCACCTCTGACCCCAGATGAGTTGAACAGGAGCTTCCTGGCTCACAAGGAAGAAGACTGAAGAGCACTTCTTGCTCTTCTCTGTGCGTGCGCTTGTGTGTGTACATGCACTTGCATATGTGTGCAGGCATCCCATGACCATGGATAGGAATGGGGTGTCCTGGCAATACCTGTGGTCTCCATTGTGTTTCCTGCTGGGAAGCAAGTTGCTGGGGTCCTGTTGCTCTGCACATACCTGGCATCCTGGTGCCAGTCTCTTCTGTCTCCCCTCTAACTCAGCACAGGTCCATCCTGGAGACTGGGGACTGCCCTCGCATAGAAGGGGCAAAGCTAGCTCTCTAGCCTGCCCCAGGATGGGGGACAAACAAAGAAGTTGGCCTGAGGGTGGGCAGAGCGCCCAGTCTCTGGAGTCATGTGTCCCGGGTGACAGGTAGCATCACTGCAAGCACAACTGAGTGGCATTTCTCTATCATTCTATAGACTGAGGGAGTGCGTGTGTCTGTGAACGTGCTGAACAAGGAAAAGGGGGCTCCTTTGCTGTTCGTGGTCCGCCAGAAGGAGGCTGTGGTGTCCTTCCAGGTGCCCCTAATCCTGCGAGGGCTGTGAGTAGGACCTGGGGGTCAGGGAGGGGGGTAGGCCAAGGCCAGGCCTTGCCCAGAGCCTCACCCAGGGCCTTGTCTTGGCCTCAAACCTCTAGGGAGCTCTGGTTCTCATCCCTATTCCCTGAACCAGGAGACTGGTTAATGGCATGAGGACAAACCAGCCAGCCTGGAACTTGCCAGCCTAATAAGGGTAGGGAGGTGGGTGAGACCAGAATGGAGGAATCGAGATGTTGCTCCCCTAGAGTGACAGGCTGGCTGGGATAGTGGTCAGTTTCTGACTCTGCTTTCAATCATAGGTATCAGCGCAAGTACCTCTACCAAAAGGTGGAACGAACACTGTGTCAGCCCCCCACCAAGAATGAGTCCGAGGTCCAGTTCTTCTATGTGGATGTGTCTACCCTATCACCGGTCAACACTTCGTACCAACTCAGAGTCAGCCGAATGGATGACTTCCTCCTCAGGTCTGCAGGGGAGCTCAAGGGAATCGAGGGAACTAGATTCTTTCCCAAGCTCTGGGAGTGACCTTGGGGTGCTCCTCTCTGCCCTACAGGACTGGAGAGCAGTTTAGCTTCAATACTACAGCAGCACAGCCACAGGTAAGTGCTCCCTGTGAGCAGCACCTCGAGGAGAATAATGGGGAACTTGAACATGGGAGTGGGAGCATCAGCAGTTTTGCTGCTGACTCAGCTCTTCATGGAGGGACTCTCTGGAAACAGGAGCTCTGGCCCAAAGGGAGTAAGGGAAAGCTGGCATAAGACAATACAGAAGCAGCTTTCTTCCCTACTTGCCTCTTGGGCACTGAGTGCCCAGCTGAGGTTGAGGAGTGGGGTTGGCCTTGCTTACATACTTGTGCTCACCTGACTGAGGTGAGCCTGGGGGCTTGGGCTCTGGATTGGATGATCCTGCCTGCCTCTACCAATGGCCAAGGCCTTGCTTCCCAGAGAGCCTCCATTGCCCAGTCCTAAGGGGATCCACAGTGTTCCCTTTTGGAAGGGCAAAGAGCATCTTCATAAAATGGGGTTCTCTCCACCCTTCGTGTGACCTCAGTACTTCAAGTATGAGTTTCCAGAGGGAGTGGACTCAGTGATTGTCAAGGTGACCTCTAAGAAGGCCTTCCCCTGCTCTGTCATCTCCATCCAGGATGTCCTGGTAAGTTACCTGCCCTCTACTCTCCACCAGTGGGTTGCAGGTCTGCTAAAAAAGAGGGGACAGGGCCTAGTCCCTGCCCCACTCCCTGCCACTCCGCTCCTCCTCTCTAGTGCCCTGTCTATGACCTGGACAACAACGTAGCCTTCATAGGCATGTACCAGACTATGACCAAGAAGGCGGCCATCACTGTGCAGGTAGGAAGCTCACATGACCTGGTGGGGGATGTGGCCAGGTGATTAGCTTTCCAAACCTTCGCTTAATAGTAGGATGCCCGTGAGTTCCATAATGGGCACACACATACTTGTGCTCACCTGACTGAGGTGAGCCTGGGGGCTTGGACTCTAGATTGGATGATCCTGCCTGCCTCTACCACTTTCTGGCAGGGTGAACCTAAGCCTGCCAACAGGGGTAATGACAGTACTGAGTTCTGAGAGGGCTTTGTAAAATAATAGGACCGTGTAAAATAATAGATAGATAAAAGGAATTTAACATTGACAGCACAGGTGGGCCTTGAGGGGACCTAAATGAAACAAGTCAAAAGGAGAAAAAGGAATAAAAAAATGACTCAGTGATTTGTGAAATACAAAGCAAGGGAAAAAAAGCAATTTAACAAAACAAAAACAACCCTTAGGCTTTGACCCGAGAATGGTGGTTACCAGAGAGGGCAGGAGGGGGTGGGTGGGTGAGGTTAATTGGTTTGTGGTGGTGACTGGACATTTGGTGGTGGGCGTGGGGTGATAAATACAGTTGTTGAGGTGAGAAACTGTACCCCTGAAACTTCTACAGTGTTGTAAACCATTGTTACTTCAATCAAAAGAAAATGGAAAAAAGAGTCTAGCATAATGTCTGGTCCAAAGTAGGTTTGCAGACAAGGATGATGATGTGATGATTGGGGATGATAATGATGATAATTGTCCTCATGGTTATCCTGCAGCGCAAAGACTTCCCCAGCAACAGCTTTTACGTGGTGGTGGTAGTGAAGACTGAAGACCAGGCCTGTGGGGGTTCCTTGCCTTACTATCCCTTTGTAGAAGGTAGGTTGTGTGCCCTTGGGCCTGCCTAGGGATGGAAAGGGCTTGGTGACCTGGGAGGTACAAGAGCCCATGAAACTGATGGCTGGGTTTAATGGGCTATGGGTTTCTGGCTCCAGATTCTCCCAGGTCTGCTCCCACCACTATAGCCAAACTCTAGGCAGCCATTTCTTTGTCAATTTGACATTTTACTTCCAGATGAACCGGTTGATCAAGGGCACCGCCAGAAAACCCTGTCAGTGCTGGTATCTCAAGCAGTCACATGTGAGTGTGGGTGGCTGAGGGGGTATGAGCTAGCCTCTGGCTCTTTCTCTCCTGGGGTGGGGTGTGTTCTCTGAATGGAAAGGGGGATGAGGACCCACTCCCAGCTGCTGGGGCAGAAATGGGGAGTGTTCTTGGCGAGCTTCACTGTGGGACCTCCTTCCTTGGCCACCGTGACAAAGCCCGATGGGGTGAGTTCCAGTACAGTGCAGTATGTGGAAGTGCTGAGGTCTGGTTCCCTCTCCGCCATATATGAGCAGTGAAATCTTGCTGAGTCTATTTTCTCCACTCTGTGACGTGGCAATAGAATCTGTCTCACTAGTCCTGCTAAGTTGAGGTTAAGCACAAAATGAATACGAAAGTACTAGGCCCCTTAGTTGTACTTAATAAATATTTACTGAGTAATTGAGTGGAGCCCTTTGTAAACTGCAAAGTGTGAGATAAAAATAAAGGATTGTAATGGAAGGGGAAAGAAGCTGCCTCCCCTATACGAAGTATTTATTCAGCAAATATTTATTGAGCACTTTCTGCCTGCGAGGAGCTGTGCTTCGGCTGTCATTCTTAGGGAGCTCCTGTCCGGAGGGGCAGGAGGCTGCAGCCCTGCAGGGTGCTGAGCAAAGGCTGGGAGCGTGGGACATAGAAGGCTTCCTAGAGGACATAGCTCCCGAGCTGTGTTTTGAAGGTTAAGTCAAGATGGAGTTTTCAAGAAAGAAGTAAAGGAAAAAGTTCTAGTAGAGGGAGCAGCATGAGCAAAAGTGGAACAATCTCAGAGTCTGGCATATTTGGGGAACTCCCTTTTGTTCACACTGGCTGGGCCATGCCATTTGAGGGGAGAGGTGAGATTGGACTGGGCAGAGAATGCTGGTCCAGAGGCCTTTGTGCACCAGGGTGGGCAGTCTTGGAAGATGTCGGTGTTCACCTACCTGTTTCCACCTCCACAGCCGAGGCCTACGTTGCTGGTATGCTCTTTTGCCTGGGCATATTTCTCTCCTTCTACCTGCTGACCATCCTTTTGGCCTGTTGGGAGAACTGGAGGTATAGTGGAATTACTTTCCATTGCAGGGTGACTTGGGCTGGGGATGTGGGGAGATGGCCTGGCAAGTAATGGTGCATACCATCCAGGGGTGAAGGAAGGCAGGTCTCTGTTAAGGTCTGTGGTCTCTTCCTATGGAAACTAGCCTCCCCCCTTAACATAAGCAGGGAGACCCCACATTGCTTCCCAGCCTGGGAGGAACCTTGGAATCATGGATGGGGTCAGGGTTATGGGGTGGAGAGGGTGGAAGGCAGACCAGCCTCATGTAGAAGGATCCTCATCCCGTCATCCCCTGGTGTGCCTCTGGATTCTGTCCCTGCAGGCAGAGGAAGAAGACCCTCCTAGTGGCTATGGACCGAGCCTGCCCAGAAAGCGGTATTTCCAGAAGACCTGGGTGGGGAGGGCAGTTTGCTATATATTTTGGGGGGGATGCGTTTGGCTGGTTTTCTCAGGGGTTAGAGGAGGAAGGACTAGCTGGGGCCTTGGATATCCAGTTGGGAGTAACCCTCTCCATTTGGACACGGGTCTGGGGTATCATGCCCGCACCTCCCTAACATGCCCGTCCTAAAGGCTGCTGCTTGATTTGATCGCTGGGCCTAGCTACGCCGTCTGTCCACCGCAGACGATGTGGCTCAGTCTCTGGGATTATTAACCTTTCATTCTCTCTCCCTTTCTCCCACGCTTCCCTCTCTTTCTCTCCTCCCTCCTGCTTGGGACCTTCTCTCTCAGCTTCTCTTCTTGGTAAGCTCCAGGTGCTGTGGGCAAGGAGCTGGAACCCAGAGTGGGAGAGGGAGGGAAGCACAGCGGTGTCTGGGAGGGACCTGGGCAGGCCATGCGGCCCTGTGCCTGCTGCTCGTAACCTAGATGCATCTGTTCCCTGACTTTTCTCTCCCTCTAGGGAGGACAAAGAGTGGCAAGTGTTTCCACTGGGGATGTGCATGGGGGTGGGCAGGTGGTGGGAATGAGCTGTGTTGCTGGTATAGGTGCTCACTCTTTGCTGCTGGCATGGCCCTTCTGTGTCTCTCCTTTCTGGACCCTTCCCCTCTCTCTCTCTCTCCTGTTTACTTCCAGGGCTAAGGGGATCTTGGCTTCTTGTTGCAGGGCACCCACGGATCTTGGCCAATTCCTTCCCTGGCACCCCCCCTTACGAGGGTTACAACTATGGCTCCTTTGGTACGTGTCAGAGCAGGAGGTTGTGCTTACCCACTGCTGATACCCATGCCCTCTGCAGCTGCTCAGCCCTTTGGGGATGGGCTCAATGTCCCTTCTCCTGAGGCCCCTCCTACCTGCCTCAACACTTAGCCTTCCCTGCAGAGAACTGTTCCTGTTCGGGATCTACTGACCGACTGATTGACAGCACGGGCAGTGGGGACCTCTCCTACACTTACCAGGGTGAGTGGCCAGGGCTGCAGAGTCCTCTGAAGCAGGGCCGGTGCTGGCTGGGTGAGCTGTGATGGCAGGTATTGCCTCTTCTGCGAGATGCTGAAACCCTGAAGGGCCTGCTGTCTCCACGCCCCTCTCCTCCCTTATCCTCTGTGGTCCCCCTTCCCTGGTAACTTTCCCTTTCCTTTAAAGGGCACGACCAGTTCAAGCGGCGCCTCCCCTTTGGCCAGATGCGGCAGCTGTGCATTGCCATGGGTAGATGTAGGGAGGGGGTGTGGACTGCTCTGCCAATCAGCTTCTGCCCGGGCAGTTGACTGGAGCCGGCAGGCTCTGGGGCCAGAAAGATGCTTTGTGCATGGCTTCCCCATCAAATGCCAGTAATTGCCAGCTCTTGTGTCTTCTGAGATAAGCAGGCACTGGCCCATGAGGTTGGTTGGCTGGCACCCTAGCTACCCCCAGGCCAGGTGTTCTGGTTTGCTGTTGTGTTTGCCGGCATCTTCACTCCCTGGCCTGCTGGGGTAGGGGGTGTCATGTCCTGCCCCTTGGGGACTGGTCAGGCAAGGTCACAGGAGGAAGCTTCTGAAGGCACAAGAAAAAGTGCTCTTCCTAGAGGCAGCCTCTCACCCTTGCCTACACCCCAGGGCCCACTGGGTCTTCAACCTAGTGGGTCTCAAGGCAGTGTCTTCTCAGAACCCACAAGACTGGGCACCTAATCAGCATGACTTACACTGAATTTATTCCTGTTGCTTGTGTCTGGGGCCTGGGGTCTGCTCAGTGTCCCGGCCTGGAAGCCCTAGTTCAGTGAGGGGGCAGAGATGGGAGCAAGACTGGGGATCCCTGTTTGGGGGACTTTCAGAGCCCACTCTTGCTCTTCCCCTCAAGGACTTAGGAGCTCCTAATACTCCTCCCTGGGCCTGAGCCCACCTCCACCCCTATACTAAGTCCCAGCCCACAATCTGCCTTTTCCCACTGCCTAGTAATTGTAACAATTGCCGCAGGTGGGTGGGCGCAGACCTTGGGTTCTGTGTCCACCAGACAACCCTTCCTCCCTGCCTCCCCAGAACGTTCCCTTGACCCGGTGGGTACTCGGCCACGACTGGACTCCATGAGCTCTGTGGAGGAGGATGACTATGACACACTGACTGACATCGATTCGGATAAGAATGTCATCCGCACCAAGGTCTGGCACCACACCATCTGCCCTGGCCAGGGGGTTCCCCAGGAGGGGAGAGTCTGGTTCAGGCCCCTGAGTATCTCCCTCTGGGGGTCGCTTGTTGGGGAAGCAAAGGGAAAGAGCCCAGCTGGGGCATGCTAGGTTCTAGCGGAAACTAGCTCAGCTCACAGCCCTTCCAGACTGACTGGTCAGTGGCAACGGGATGGCCTCGAATCCCGCCCACAGAGTTCTGGCCTGTGTGAGGGAGGGCCTCTTCTCTTCCCCTAACGTGGGTGAGATGGGCCGCTCCCAGGCCCTGGGTAAGCGGGCTCACTCCAGCGTCTCTCCAGCAATACCTCTATGTCGCCGACCTGGCCCGTAAGGACAAGCGTGTTTTGCGGAAAAAGTACCAGATCTACTTCTGGTGAGTGGGCGGAGCAGGGTGGGTGTTCCCGGCAGGGCAGTATAGCTGCTTCCCAGGCCTTGCCCCTCACTGGTCATCCTGCTTCTCAGGAACATCGCCACCATTGCTGTCTTCTACGCCCTTCCTGTGGTGCAGCTGGTGATCACCTATCAGACGGTGAGAGAACTGTGGGCGGGCGCTCCCCCAGTGCAGGCTCGCCTTTCCCACAGTCTGGGACACACCGCCCCCAAGGGCAGAGCCTCCCAGCCCAGGGCTCTCGAACAAGGACAGGTCTTAGGTCATGAGACCTGGGTTCAATCCCAGCTGTGCTCTACAGGTGAATGACCACAAGCCAGTCACCCTCCCGGAGCATCAGTTTCTTCATCTGCAAAATGGGGTCAACCACAACCGCCCGGGATGTGGTGGGGATTTATGAAATGAAAGTCCTGAGGCTCTCTTAAATCTTGGTTTCTCTTCCTTTTCCTCTACTGTGGGGCAAGAACCTCGTCATGGTCTTGACCCAGGGTTTTCAGTCACATGTGATGGTGGGGGCAGGGTGCACATGTGCTCTCACCACTGGCCGGAGTGGCAGTATGGGACTGGGTGGTGAGGTTTGTGCCAGCTGCTCCCCCCACTGGGCAGTGGATCAGTCGGGCGCTCTCAGCAACCCCCTGCTCCCTTTCTTGCTCCTTGCTGCAGGTGGTGAATGTCACAGGGAATCAGGACATCTGCTACTACAACTTCCTCTGTGCCCACCCACTGGGCAACCTCAGGTGGGGGCTCTTTGTGGGGATCCTTCCCCAACAAATGGTGAATGAGGTCATGGGGAGGAGGGGTTCTGCAATGCCCCCCTCAGGTAGGGAAAAGACCAGGGCATGAGAAGAGGCTCTGCATCCTGTGTTCCTCTTCTAGCGCCTTCAACAACATCCTCAGCAACCTGGGGTACATCCTGCTGGGGCTGCTCTTCCTGCTCATCATCCTGCAGCGGGAGATCAACCACAACCGGGCCCTGGTGCGCAATGACCTCTATGCCCTGGTGAGCACCCACCTGTTCACCCACTGAGGCCTTACCTCCAGGCCCTTTGCAGCAGGCATGCCCCAGCCCTGCCCACCTGCCCAGTTCACCCACACTCTCCACTCCTCTCTCACAGGCTCCTTCTTTGGGGTCCCTTCTTCCCTATCTCCCTCCTTTTCTCCCTCCCTCCCTCCTTTTGCTCCTTCTGTTTTTCCTTCTTACCTACCTTCACGCTCCCTTCCATCTCTTTCTCCCAATAGGAATGTGGGATTCCAAAACACTTTGGCTTGTTCTATGCCATGGGCACAGCTCTGATGATGGAGGGGCTGCTCAGCGCTTGCTATCATGTCTGCCCCAACTACACTAATTTCCAGTTTGGTGAGTGGGGCCTCCCTCTTCCCCATCTGAAACTAGAGCAGCGACTGCCTGAATCCTCCACCATCTCCAAGTCACCTACCTGCAAGGATCCTAAGACTCCACTGTAGGAGACTCCAGGGCTGAGGTGCTCATGTGCACACATCCCAGCGTATAGAAAATAGGCACCTAGATGCCATTTCTTTCATCGGCTGTGTGTCCAATGGAAAGGCATGTGCCAGTGCTGAGAAAATGAGCATGATAAGACATGGCCCCTGGTATCAGGATACTCACACTAAGTTGCCCTTGTCGGGGGAAGTCAGACTGGGTGACAGCCCATGGGTGGCAGTGTGGTCTGGTAGGGACAGTCGAGGGACTAGAGCTGAAGTACCAGATCTGTGAGTGGGAGGAGATGCGGGGGCTCTCTCCCATGCTGAGGGGCTGACCTGGAGCTCCATGCCAAGGCGGGGTGGGTGTTTCCCCCGTGCAGACACATCGTTCATGTACATGATTGCCGGGCTCTGCATGTTGAAGCTCTACCAGAAGCGGCACCCGGACATCAACGCCAGCGCCTACAGCGCCTATGCCTGCTTGGCCATCGTCATCTTCTTCTCTGTGCTGGGCGTGGTGAGACCTTGACCTGTCCTGCTCATCCCATAGGAAAGGTGCATTCGTGTGTAGACACATGCATGCCCTCTTCTGATCTCCCTCGGAAGAGACCCTGGTATCCTTCCCAAAGGGGCCTTGGGCCCCCGAGAATCCCAGCCCAGCTGAGTAGTGAGCCCCAACTCTGGAGGAAGGGCAGGCTGTGGGAGCAGCTTTCCTCGGCCCCTCCTTAACTTCTGCCCTCGGTGGCCCCCATAGGTCTTTGGCAAAGGGAACACTGCTTTCTGGATCGTCTTCTCAGTGATTCACATCATCTCCACGCTGCTCCTCAGCACTCAGCTCTACTACATGGGCCGGTGGAAGCTGGGTAAGGGCATGCCCAGGGCAGGGCGTATGGAAGGGGCATGCTGGTCCCCATGGAATGAGGGGGTTGGTGACCGTGGGGACCTGGACTCACAGGAGACTTTCATGGGTTCTGCCCTGTCATTGGGGGAGAACTTCTCCAGGGGAGGAATCACTGGGTGAGCTCCTAGATAGCTGTGACCTCAGAAGCCCTGGGCACCTCTCAGCTGTGCAGAACAGGGGGTTGGGAAAGGCAGGGCCTGTACATTTCAGTACCCTCCTTTCTTGCAGACTCGGGGATCTGCCGACGCATCCTCCATGTGCTCTATACGGACTGCATCCGACAGTGCAGCGGGCCCCTCTATGTGGTACCTGCCAGCAACCCTGCCCCTCTGCCGCCATCTGCTCTCTTCCCTTGGGTTGTGTGTGTTTGTGAATGGGGGGCAGTTAGCTGAGAGCCCAGGATAGTGGGGGGACCAGCTGATTTGGGCCTTCTTCCACTTCTCTCCCTGTCTCTTTCCCCCTCTCAGTCCCCGTGTCTCTGCTTCCCTCCAGGACCGCATGGTGCTGCTGGTCATGGGCAACATTATCAACTGGTCGCTGTGAGTCTAGCCATTGTCTGGGGTAGCCTGGCTGGGCGGACAGCTGGGGACTTGGCTGGCCACTGGCTGCGCTGGGGACCACGGACAAATTCAGAGCTTTGGGCATGAGAAGTGGGGGCTTCAAAGAGAAGTGGTGGCATCTGGGTCCTAAAATTGTCTGTGGGCCTCTGAACCCGGCCCGCATCATAATCAAACATGGGGTAGGGGCAAGAGGGGGCCCTTTTCTTGATCTCAGCCCTCCCCACTTCATCAGGCCTCCTTCCTCCACCTTCCAGGGCTGCCTATGGGCTCATCATGCGCCCCAATGATTTTGCCTCCTACTTGTTGGCCATTGGCATCTGCAACCTGCTTCTTTACTTTGCCTTTTACATTATTATGAAGGTGAGTGGGGACAGCTGAGTCTCTGCCAGCTGCTCTGCTTTCGGGGGAAGGAGATGGGCACAGCCTTCCTGGGGCAGCCCAGGAGGCAGTGAGAATTTTTCTGTCCACTTGCCTGTGCCAGTGAGGTTTGAGGAGGAGAGAGGCTAAAATCTTTGGCATGTACCCTCTGGGCGTCATTTTCAGAACCGCTCCCATATTTAGGAATGTCCCCTAAAACTGGAAGCAGGTCAGGTCCCATTCAGTGCAGGACTGAGACTCTCAGGTGGGACTCACTGAGCCTGTGGTGGGCTTGGGTCTCTGAGTGCCAGGTGCCTCCCAAGAAACCCTCACACCATCTGGTGTGCGAGGACCCTTGCCAGCACAGGGCCTTGGGCCCAGCCAGAGTGGATCAGAGGTGAGGATACCAGACTGCTAATATGGGCATAAATTGAGCTCTGTGGCTATGCAAGGTGATGGCATGAACCCCAGAACTTCCTTACGGATCCCTCCTGAAACCTGGGCAGGAACCCAGGAGAGCAGCCTCAGAGCAGGCTGGGAGATGGGGTGGGGCAAGGCCCTCATTCATTCTCTGCCCTCTCCTTGCCAGCTTCGGAGCGGGGAGAGGATCAAGCTCATCCCCCTGCTCTGCATCATCTGCACCTCAGTGGTCTGGGGCTTTGCACTCTTTTTCTTCTTCCAGGGACTCAGCACCTGGCAGGTGAGTGGTCATCCTGCAGGGTTTGGGTGGGGAGTGGGGGAGGGGTGAGAGAAGGGTCCCCACAGACTCGCTGTGAGCCAGCAACTCACCAGTTCTCTTTCTGAGCCATGCTCTTTCACAGTGGCGTCCTCATTTAATCTTCCTAGCAGTCAACAGGCCATCATGCAGCTAGTCCCATTTTACTTAGGAGGCGGTTGAGGTTTAGGGAGGTTAAATGACCCGCCCAGGGTCCCCCAGCCCATGAGTGGCACAGCTGCGGTTTGAAGCCTGAGGGAGGGGTCAGGCTCTCTCCTCAGCCTCATGGGCACCTCCTGTGGTTAAAGTTAAACCTTCAGTCCTGTGATTAGCCCTAAGCCTGACAGAGATTTATTCCTGGCTTACTATTTACAGTATGAGGCATGAGATGAAGTGTGTAGGCAAGACAGGCAGAAGACTGAGAGGCCTCTATGAGATAGGAGGTGCAGGAAAGCTTCCTGGAGGAAGCAGGCCTTGCTCTAGGTCTTAAAAACCTGAGGAACAGGAAGGGTCCTGTGACCCAGAAGTGTTGTGACCCAAGAAATGCTACTGAGGCAGACAAAGGTGAGGCAGACAAAGGTGAGGCAGATTTGGGTGTAGGTGAGGGCCGGGCACGTATTTCTTGGTCATCTCTGTGGCCTCAGTGTGCAGCACAAATCGCTCCCCTCCTCTCCCCCAGTGATGTCCTGCCAGTGTTTGTTGGGTAGAGGTTTTGGGTAGAAGATGTTAGACCCACAGACCACAGCCTCTGTTGTTCTGGGCAGGGGTATGTGACTGGACAATAGTGCTTTGGAGGGAAAAAAATGAGCCTGGGGGGGCAGTGTTTAGAGTGGAGGCAGAGGCCATGATGGGGTTGGGGGTGGGGGAGCTCTAGAATCTCAAGGTAGTCTCAGCCCCTGCTATTAGAGCTATGAAGAATCTAGGGGGAGGAGGGCAAGAGAGAAAGCAAAGGGCAGGGTCCCGAGCCCCAGGGAAGAAATTTATAACAAAAAGCCAATTCTTAGATGTTCAGTTGGCAAAGGGCAGTCAGGGCGCCTATGGGGAAACAAGGGGTGGCGGGACTGGGGAGTGTGAACTGGCAGCTGGCCCTGTCCTCCCCAGAAAACCCCTGCAGAGTCACGGGAGCACAACCGGGACTGCATCTTGCTGGACTTCTTTGATGACCACGACATCTGGCACTTCCTGTCCTCCATTGCCATGTTTGGGTCATTCCTGGTATGTGAGCTTCTCCCCTGAGCGGGAGGGTGGGTCAGGGCAGCAGCAGCGCCCTCTGCCTGTGCCTGACCCGTGTCCACCCCCAGGTGTTGCTCACGCTGGACGACGACCTGGATACTGTACAGCGGGACAAGATCTACGTCTTCTAGGGGAGCCGGGCCCCTTGCTTCACTCGCGGGGCCCCGAGCCCCAGCCTGCTGCCCAGAGCCTCACTAGCACTGGGGTGTGAGTCCCGGCCCCGCTGCCCAGAGCTGGGTGGCAGCGGGACAGCAGAACTAGTCCAGACCAGGCGCGGGGACAGTCTTGGGGGTGGCCTCGAGCCTTGCAGATGCCCCCTGCTGGGGAGGAGGCCTGCTCCTCTGAAATCCTAGGCTTTGGCCAAAATTGCTGCTTTATTCTCAGTGTTGGGACCTCCACAGTCCCCCTCTGTTGGTTCTCCTTTGTTCCTCTAAAGGATGAAGGAGGAAAGTGTTGCCCTGCCCATCTCATGCCTTGCAGTCTGTCCATTCATTCTTCCCTTCCCCCGCAACCTGGACCCAAAGCCCTTTTTTCCTCTCAGACTCCAGAGCAATGGTCCGGGACCTGATACTCTGCTCTGCAGCCGGGCCCTACTTCTCTGTGGGGTTGTACCTGGCTGCCGCCACTGCCCACTCAGTCATCTGGGGTGGGTGGAATATAGGTTTCTGCCAGCCTCATGGTGCTAAGGCCTGCAAGGGGCCCTGGGCCTGCCCCTCTGACCTACGCTCAGGGCTGGCTCTTTGGCAGTGAGAATTAGCCCACAGTTGAGGGCCTGACTTCTGAGGTCACCTTCCATCCCTTCAGCCCCCAGACTGATGCTGGCACCAGGATTGGAGGGAAAAAGCAACCCCTACCCCATTTCTTCCTTCCTTCCTCCAGGCTCTTAGTCCTGCCAAGCCCCCGATGGGGGCCTTTCAGTGCCATTGACACTGCCCAAGAATGTTCCAGGGCAAAGGAGGAGGATACATAGAGCCCAGCCCGCCCTGCCCCCTATGTGGCTGCCCGAGCCCCAGTGCCTACCTGAGAAAGGGGCTTGAGGAAGGGACGTGGCATTTGCTGTCAGTCCCCAGTCCCAGCCTCACTCTAGGAGTGGCTCTTATTTCCGTCCAGGGCTGGGTCTTGTTTCCTTCCAGCCTTCAGCCAAGTTCTGTGTCCATCACACATACATATGGAGTTTACACTGAGTTGCCCCGGCTCTGGGCCTCTGGCTGCTCTAGTCCTTGGATCCCCTTCATCCTACCTGGTCCATTCCAGATGCCAAGACTGGGGGAGGTCAGGTCGGGCCTCTGCCTTGGAGATGGGAATGTGTTTTCTTCTCCCCCACTTGTTTTTTTAGCCCTCTCTGAGGCTGGGGAGAGGAGATGGGTCTGGATTTTTCAGAACTCCGTTTAATGTCTGTTTCCATGCTATGGTTGCATTTCTGTTTTCTATGAATGAGTCTGCATTCAATTAAAGAAACAACCAGACATACTTCTTGGACCCCTTATTCACTCCCCCTTTCTGGACAGAGATTTTGAGGATGGGGGGCAGGGTGGGGCCTCCATTTTCCAGTTCTTCTACTGTGACTTTCTCCTTCCAGTTCCATTGGGAACACAGCTCCTTGATTCACCCCTTATTCTCTCTCATTTGAGCAACAGCATCAACTCAGTAAGCATTTCTCAGGAGCTAGCTCTGCGAGGTGGAGAGAAAAGCCTTAGCCTGCCATCTCACCTGATGGCAGGTGGGGGCATGGAAAGGGGTTTTGAAATGACCCTGGAAGGTCGATTTGGGTTTCAATGGTGGGGGGGGGGGTGTGTTGGGTGTGAGGAAGGTGGTGACTCCAGGATATTTCTGGGTATGGGTCACTCCCCAGCTGGTCTCCCTGCTCTTCCCCGCAGGCACCACTGGGGGGTGCACTAGTTCTATGCACCACTGTGGTGGGTGGCACCTCCCCTTACTGCTGGCGGGGCCCCTTCTCTTCTGGTGGCCCTGTGACTGTGTGTGATGAGTGAGTGGTAGAAACTGGTAGGTCCTCCCAGCCCAGCTGCCCTAGGATGGGGCAAGAGTGTCCTCCCTGCTGCCTCAACAGGCAGCGCAGAGTCCTTCCTTTCTTCACCTCCTGCCCTTTCCTGAGACCCCTGAAGCCAGGAACAAGCGCGATCTTGGTGGAGCTCCTTCCTGGTCTGTTTTCCAGGACAGGTAGAGACTGTTCCTAAAGAGATGACTACTAGCAGCCTCTGAGTCTCCTGCCAGGCCTTAGATACCCTGTGGGCGGGGGTCAGGGTTGAGTGAGCTGCTGCTGAATCGTCAAATCCCACCCACCCCCAACTAAAGCATGAAAGGAAGTATGCTTCCCCTCCCCCCAACAAATGAAAGTTCTCAACCTGAGCAGGTGAGTGGTGCCACAGAAGAGTGGGTCAGCAGCCCCTCAGCTCCCACGCAGGGTCTGAAGGGATGCCAGGCTGTCACTTGTGACTTGTGGGGTAGCCTTGGGTTCTTACCCAAGGCTGCATTCTAAACCTCAGTTTCCTCATCTGAACAATGAGGTAATTATGGTCTCAGAGCGTAGCTGCGCACATAAAGAACATTCAGAAAGTGCCTGGCATGTAGTAGGGCCTCAGAAAAGGTTAGTTTCCGCCTTCTAGAGCGAAAATCCCAGAAGGAGAGGGTGTTTGCTTTGTCCACCCCTAAGCGCGGAGATGCATCGCCCCAGTCCTTTCCTCTTTGGCCAGATCCTCCTGAATGTCCCCCACCCCTCAAGCTCAGGGGCAGGGAAACAGGGAAGAAGGAGCGGCCTAAGTCCAGACAGCAGGGAAAGCCTTCAGGGTCCTGTCCATAAAAGGCTTTTCCCGCCGGTTCCCCGCCGCCAGCGCAGCCCCGCCCCCGCCCGCTCCATCTCCAAAGCACGCGGAGAATGTCTCGGGCAGCCCTGGGCAGACTGCTCCAACTTGGTGTCTTTCCCCAAATATGGAGCCTGTGTGGAGTCACTAGGGGGCCTGGGGGTGGAGAACGGAGCCGGTTTCCTCCAGCAGGGAGGGGTCTGAGGGGTGAGCCAGCGGGGGAGGGTGACATCACCACAGCGGCAGCCCTTTAAACCCCTCACCCCGCCTGCACCCCATCCTGTCTGCCCCTTCCAGACACAGAGCTCACTCCTTCCAGCGCGCCCTCGAGGAAGCCCTGTAAGTGCATCCGTCCCAGGGGTGGAGAGAAGCTGGGCAGGGGGCTCTACTGCAGGCAGGCCTCTCAGGAGGTCCTGGTCCCCAGCTCTCTGGCTGGGGGTGCCCACCCTCTCCATCAGCGAGCATTCCTAATCTCCAGATGGAGACTTGGTCCCAGCGTCGTGGGTGGGATGGGCTTGCTGGAGTCCTACTTGTCTCAAACCGAGTCGCCCTGAGCTCCTTGAAATGGCCAGACGACTTGGCTGGTGCTGTGGGATTAACAGTGGAAACCTAGGGACTGGGATGAGAGGGAGGCTCCCAAATTTCAGCCAGCCACACCCATGGGGTGTGTTGTTGGGCTAGACCAGAGGCTTTGTTGCCTGCTGCCCACCTAGGAGGGCTTCAAGGAGGCGAGGAGGGCCATGAATCCACTAAAGCAGGAGAGCAGTGTCCTCAGGCCTGAGCAGTCACATTTTGGGGCACAACCCTAACAGTCTGAGAGTGGGCACTCACCCCCTAGAAGTGGCAGGTGGGCACTGCCAGGAGGAGCTTTGGAGTGATGGCTCAGGAGTGAGCAGACCTGCTGCCCTGGGCCCTTTCCAAAGGTTCCCCTTAGTGGCTCTATTCAGAGGGCAGCAGTGAGGAGGGCTTCTCTCCTCGGGATTCGGATGACCCCCCCCCCCGCCCCGCCCCTGCCACCTCAAAGATCCACCTGTGCTGGCTCTATTTTGTGTGTTTTGTTTTGAAGACGGGTAAGCAGTCCTGGGGACACTGCTGGTTCTGCATTTGTTGCTGGAAGGAACCCCCCCCCCTTTGTTTTTCTCCACTGCCAAGCCTCAGTGACTAGAGGGGAGGCTGGCAGGGCCAAAGCAGATCTCGGGCTGGCATGTCCACCCTGTCCTGGAGCCTGGTCTAGAAAGGCCCCCTGGGCCGCCCACCAGTCCTCTCTGCCCTGTCTCCTCTTCCCAGAGCTCCTACATGGCACTGCAGAGGTCTTTCTCAGAGGAGTTTGTGGGACTTCTTGGGACGCTTCACTTTCAGACCATTTCCATGCGAGGGAAGGGCGAGGGTGGAATGAGGTGCATTTCATCCCCCTTCCTTCTTGTTCTGACCCAAATCCAAATATCGTTTCCAGATCGAGGGGCTGCAGAATTTTCTTGCCCTGTCACAGATACCCTGATGAATCTCCCAAGACGGAGAACTGGGTGTGTGAGGGGCACGTTTCCACCCCGTTCCTTTGTGTTTCCGAAACTCTCATGATTGGGGCAGGTGTGGGCTGGGGGCGACGAGGAGGGTGGGGATGGAAGGTGGTGTGGTGGGCCCCCAGGACGGTGTGCTGCCTGCTTCATGGGTGTGGTGGCCAAGATGAGGGTGGGCTGCAATCCCCTGGCCCGAGTTGACTTGCAGGCTATGGTGCAGTCTCTATCTAAGAGTCCTTGGGTGATGGAGAAGTGGGGTGAGGTACAAAGTGGGTGGGGAAGGGAGGTACTTGGCTCTCTCCCTCTGTCTGTAGTGAACAGAGCAGAGCACTCTGGGTTCACTGGCATCCCTGACTGGGAGGGGGTGTTGGTGCTGAGAGAACCTGCTCCCCGGAAGTAGCCAGGCCTCAAGTCACAAATACACAAATAAGGAGAACAACTCAGAGAAGAGAGTTGCCCCGTGGCTGGAATTTCGACGAGTCCATCTAGTGTTCTTTTTCTCAAACCTTGTGTTCCCCTCAGGGAATGATGTTGCAAAGGGGTGGAGGCTGGTGTGGAATATCACTTAGTGTTTTTCACTCACACTTGGGGCTCCCAGGTGACTGTGCTGGGGGGGCAAAGGACTGCCATTTTGAGGAGCTCAGCTAAGGGGAGCCTCAGTTTGCTAGGACGTCACAAGCATTGTCTCATGGAATGTTCACAGACTCTGAGGTGGAGAACATTGTCCTCACCATGCGGATGGGGACTTGGCTCAAAAAAAGTCAGCATGGGGAAAGGAAGGGCAAGGCAAGTGGAGCTGGGTGACTGACCTGGGACCCTGTGATGCCATGGGAACCTGCTTCCCTCCGAGGGCAGAGGGGGAGAGGCCCTCAGCTCTGACCAGACAGGGAGTTGGGGGAACATGCCAACTACCTCCCTCTCCAGACCATTCTCTCCCTCCACACCTCTGACCTCTCTAAGGCCAGGGGATGAGTTTGACCTCATTTGATACCTATTTCCAAGGGCTCTTCAGGGTAGAACTCTGGGCAGAAGGTCTACCACCCTGGAGTGTCCCTAGTGACCAGGTCAGTTCTCTTGACCAGCCACATTCACTTCTGGCCCTCATCCTCATTAGCAGGTTCTCATAGTACTGCCAGCTCCAGGCTGCTGGTCTGGACTGGGCGGGGCTTCCCATGCCCTAGCTGGCAGATTCTTGGCTCTGGGCTGTCCCTGGAGGACTCTGGCTTCTTCGTTACTCAAGCAACTACAGCGGGGAAAGCCTGAGGGCATGAGGGAAAGTCCAGGGGTTACCAGTTTGCTCTCTCTCATATGGCTCCCCTGAGGAAATACAGCTACTGGAATGAAAACTCTTGGGGGCTTCCTAGAACTTGTCAGCGTGGGTACATTTAAGCTTCTTTAGCTGCAGGCCAGAGGCTGAGTTGACTTGGCAAAGAACTAGTGTTTTGGAGTTCTAGTTTCTGGGTGAGAGGATAAAATTGTTGGGGGAGAAGGCAAAGTGGGAAGTAATTCTGTAACTTGAGGCACAACTGGGAAACCACCCCACACCTCCCAGGACAAAGACACCTGCTAGCTTTATTTTGGAGGATAATGTGGCCTCTTCTGGAAGGTCGTTCCAGTGCCTCAGTGGACAATCTTGGCAAAGGAAAAAATGCTCTAGACCAGGGATTGTTGAACTGGCCCAGCACTAAATGCAGCTTGTTGCTTGTTTTGTAAATAAACCTTTATTGGCACAAAGCCACACTCATTTTGTTGATGTATCATCTAAGGCTGCTTTCCTGCTACTACAGCAAGGACAACATGGCCTGCAAAGTCCAAAATACTTACTGTCTCATCATGTACAAAATGCGTTTGCCGACATCTGCCCTAGGCTGTCAAAGATCTGGTCTCCAAGTACAGAGAGGCTCACTCCTTGGACTAAGGGGATGAGACTGGCCCAGGGGGCAGTGCCATTGAAGGAGACCCAGCCCCACCTCCCCCTCTTTTTTTGCTGGAATATTTTGGGGGTTGAAATTCAGAAAGGAAAAAAATATAGACATCAATTTTTTTCTCAGGACTGGCTGGCAGCGTTTGATTTACCCTGAGCACTTCTGTAATGGTTCCAGCAGCAAGAACAGGCAGGCATCTAGGTGTATGGGTGCTCCTGGTTGCTGTCCTCCACAAGACCCCTCCCATTCCAGGATTCTGGGGTGGAGGCGGGTGGGGGGCAGATTTTCAGAGGAACCCAGCAGTGGAGGCAGAGGGGGATACAGTTTGGAATGTCAGGTGCCCCTGGACAGCGAGACCAGCTGGTGAGACAGCGGTTCTCTGATCCTCTGACCCTGTTCCTTCTGGCCTGTGCTGCTTTAGCTCTCCCCCGACATGGCCAACAAAGGTCCTTCCTATGGCATGAGCCGCGAAGTGCAATCCAAAATTGAGAAGAAGTATGACGAGGAGCTGGAGGAGCGGCTGGTGGAGTGGATCATAGTGCAGTGTGGCCCAGATGTGGGTCGTCCAGACCGTGGGCGCCTGGGCTTCCAGGTCTGGCTGAAGAATGGCGTGGTGAGTGGTACCCTGGGGAGGGCCAGGGGCTGTGCCAATCTGCTTGAGTCGCTGCAGAGCTGCAGCGGGTACTGTGGGCAAGTGCCAAGCTGTGTTCTGTGTCCGGCAGATTCTGAGCAAGTTGGTGAACAGCCTGTATCCTGACGGTTCCAAGCCGGTGAAGGTGCCTGAGAACCCACCCTCCATGGTCTTCAAGCAGATGGAGCAGGTGGCTCAGTTCCTGAAGGCAGCTGAGGACTATGGGGTCACCAAGACTGACATGTTCCAGACAGTTGACCTCTTTGAAGGTATAGAGGAAAGGGGTGGAGGAAGCAGGTGGAGGACGGGAGGCTGAGGTATAGCAGGAATGGGCTCTGCCGAGGGAATGTCATACCCACTCTCAAGGGCATACTGTAGCATCCACTGAAGCCTCTGTGAAATCTGGAACAAGCTTTGCCCCCCTGGGTTGGCCATTTTTCTGGGAGGTGAGGGCAGGTCCTGCCTTGGCCTCCTGTTAGAGTCCTGAGGTTCGCTCCCCTTTTCTCTCTTTCTTCTCATAGGCAAAGATATGGCTGCAGTGCAGAGGACCCTGATGGCTCTGGGCAGCCTGGCAGTGACCAAGAATGATGGGCACTACCGTGGAGATCCCAACTGGTTTATGAAGTACGTGGCCACCAGGGAGCCCCTGAACCTTAAGCTTGGGTGTCTGCCTGAGGGAGGTGGCCTGGTCTAACCAGCGAGGGCCCATAATTTGGGGAAGCAGAGAGCCCAGAAAGTAGGAAGAGAAGGTCCAGGATGGGTGGGGAAGATGGGTTTCTAATACTTCTTGATGCTTCCCTTTCTACCTGCCTGTGCTCAACCAGCCTCCCTCGCCTGCGGGGCAAGCTAGGTGAAGGAAGTAAGAGACGTGAGACAAGAAGGGAATGGGGTGGGGCCGGGAAGTAATAGAAGAAATCACTGGAAAACATGGTCTTTATCCTGGTTCTCCTCTTCTAGGAAAGCCCAGGAGCATAAGAGGGAATTCACAGAGAGCCAACTGCAGGAGGGGAAGCACGTTATTGGCCTACAGATGGGCAGCAATAGAGGGGCCTCCCAGGCCGGCATGACAGGCTACGGACGACCTCGGCAGATCATCAGTTAGAGGGGGCCCTGCCCGAGCCACAGCACTCCCCAGCTCCCTGGCCTCAACCATTGCCGCCTCCCTGCCCGCTCACCCACACTGCACAGTTCCTTCAGCCCAGCCAAGCCTCCAGCCCCGTCACTGAGCAAAGGTGACTGCTCTTGGACAGCTTCCCCCACCCCTCAGCCCAACTTCTTATCCCAGAGTGCCATTCCCCCCCACTCCACCCAGCTACCCCCCACCTCTGCTGTCTCCCCACTGTGGGCTGAGCAGGGGGCACGGGGGCTGGGGGCAGCCTGGTGTGGGGCAAGTCCATTGTCTCTGGAAGCAAATGTCCATTGAAGGAGACCCAGCCCCACCTCCCCCTCTTTTTTTGCTGGAATATTTTGGGGGTTGAAATTCAGAAAGGAAAAAAATATAGACATCAGTTTTTTTCTCAGGCCTGGCTGGCAGCGTTTGATTTACCCTGAGCACTTCTGTAATGGTTCCAGCAGCAAGAACAGGCAGGCATCTAGGTGTATGGGTGCTCCTGGTTGCTGTCCTCCACAAGACCCCTCCCATTCCAGGATTCTGGGGCAGAGGCGGGTGGGGGCAGATTTTCAGAGGAACCCAGCAGTGGAAGAAGAGGGCTGGCAGGAAAGAGAAACCCCTTGGCACTCTCATTCACTTTGGGGAAGCAGAGAAAAGGAAACCGGATTGTGTGGAAGGTTTTATTTTGGAAAAGCTGTGCAGAAAAAATTCAACAAAATGTTGCTGTGAAAACCAAATCTTAAGCATTAAAAAACAACCAAATCAACCAAGTAGCTCAGCAGCGGGAGGAGGCCCCAAGTGGGAGAAGGCATCACAGCCCTTCAGGCAGACAGCTGGCTCCAGTGGGCGAGGCCATTTCCCTGAGCACTTTGCTGAGGAAGACAGGGTGGTCTCAGGGCTGGGGTGGCAGCAGCTGACACCTGCCGCAGACTCCCCTAATGAAGTAGCACAGGTCCCGGGGAGCCAGCCCATCGCCTTTGCCAGGAGCATCGTACCGATCCGTCAGGATGAAGGGTGGGGGTGATGGTGAAGGAGTCAGGGCTGTGTTCAAGGCTGGCTTCTGATCAGGGACGACAGAGGCAGCTGCCTTCAGGGCATATGTGCTAGGCCGTGGGCTGAGTGCCAGACCAGTATGTCCCAGGTCCAAGGCACAGGCAGGTAGGTGAGAGGAAGTCTGCTGATTCTGGGTCATTAAGAGAAGCACATGCGGGGCTCTTCTCTGCCTCCGCCTGTAAGCCCTCTTGGCAAGTGACCTAGCAATGTAATGCCCTGCTGAGATGCTCCTCTGGCTATGTCAGGGGCCTTCTCTCCAAGCCTGGGTGAAGGCCCTATGACCCACACCACTGGCCTGCCCAGGAGAAACGGAGATGGCACTTCCACATCCAGAGGATGGCCAAACTCCTGTCTGAGGTCTTCCCACCAAGAACTGCTGGTGGGGGGAAGATCCTGTGGCTGCCGGCATACTGTCTTCTGACAATGGCCTCCTTCCTCTGCAACTCATGTCTGAAGAGGGTCCACACCCTCCCTGAGTGTAGTCAGAGGGTGCTCGTTAGCCTCTGGATTCCAGATGTAAGCCTCAGGACTGACTTCTCCCCAGAGCTTCTGGGAGTTCAGAGCAGCTTCCCAAGCTTCCCCGGTTTGGGGAAGGAATGGCCTGTCCATTACCAGTTTCTCAGGCCCTAGGTCAGCAAATCTGTTCCTCCTTCCCCTGCAACAGGTCTGGGGCCAGCTGCTGGCGAGGGCAGTTCAGGGCACTTCTACTCTGGGACAGGCTCCAGTCCCCACGACCCAGCAGATCTGGGGCAAGGAGACTGGTGGTGGGGCAGGGGCTCTCACTCTCTGTCTCCACTCCATCTGGATCCTTGCTGTCACAGAGTGGCACTGATTCCAGTTCTGTGCCTTCTTCCCTGGCTTTCCGGCTTCGTTGGGACCAGTGGCAGGATCCACTCCTACAAACTGAGAGGGAGGCCACACTCCTCTGGCTCAGGTACACTTCCAGCATGTAGTAAACCGTCCAGAAGATGGTAAAACAGCCTACTAGCACCAGGGTCTGGGAAAAGTCAAACAGCTCTGTTAGGGACGTTTCCAAAGCCTGCCGTCTGTTCAGCCCAGGACAACGTGCTCAGGCTCCCCTTCTAGGACTGCTTCTCCCACCCCAGGCCACTCCCTACCCCAGTCTGGCCCCGGGAATGCCTTCTAAGTGTTCGCAAGAAACACCCACCTGTTCCCAACCCTGCTTCCCCAAGTCACCTGGACAATCCCACCAAGGACCATACCCCCCCACTCCTGCCTTCCTGTGGCTTGAGTCTTGGCCCTAGTACCTTAAGGGTGTTAGGGGTGATGGTGTAACCATCTTCTTCTGGGATCTTCAGCCCAGGAGGGCAAGGCAGGGTGAAGCCATCATGCAGGTACTTTCCGCTCATGGCACTTTCCAACAGCCTGTGGAGAAGTCCAGGAAGCTCTGCTGAACTTGGCTTTTTTCCCACCTGCCCGCCCCTTTGCAACTGAAGGGAGGGAAGCACCACAGCAAAAAGGAGAGGGCGCACTGTGGGCTTGAGTCTGGAGTTGGGAGGCCTCCTAAAGTGGCCTCCCAAAGTGGCCTCTCATGCCGCCACCCCCAGGCCCCGACTGTGAGTTGTCTTCCTTCTTTACACATGCGGCCATCTTACCTTTGTCTGTCTCGGATGTCCACGGGACTCCACACAGAGCCATAGAGCTTCAGCTGCCATTGCTGGAGGATGCCAGCCTGGCTCGTCTCATCCCCTAGGGCAGCAAGTGGGGCCATCCATGAGCCATGCCAACAGCAGAGGCACTGCTGCCTGCCACCCAAGGGACTCAACCACAAGGTCTGCACCCCACAGACCACAGGTTTCTGCAGATGTGCCTCATGGGGTGCCCGGAGGGATGGAGAGGGGAGGCTGAAAGGCGGTACTCCAAAGTAGAGAAGTTTTCCCTTTATCTCTCTCATATTTGGGAGAAAAAAGATGTCTTTCTACTAAATTACAGAAAGGTTTTGGAACCTGCGCAGGGTGTCACCCTAGAAAGGTTTTGGAAGCCACCAGACCAGTGAATACCTAACTTGACAGGAAGTTGGGAGGGTTGGGTTCCATTTCCAGTCTCCTCACTGAATACTGTGTGACCTGATGCAAATTACATCAAACCTCTGGGTGGGTCTCAGTTTTTCCAAAGAAATGGTGAAAATTAGTCCTGCCCTTACCTGCCTACCAGGGCTGGCCGAAGGATGATTATATGTGAAAGGACTTGAAATGTGGTTTCAACAAGGAATTGTGTGTTGCTATCCTGAGGAAAAATGGATCAGTCACTTCTCCACGGAACACAAGAGGCAGGATATATGACACTGTTAGACATTGACGCCATGTTTGGCTTGGGGTATGGGTCCTGGCACCGACCTTCTTGGCCAGTAGCAGCCCTGTGTGTTCCACATGCCGCGTGGGACAATTTCCGTGGGGACCCTGTGATCCAGAGGGGCCAGGTGACAACAGGCAGGGCCCTGACGGAAGGGCAGGCGCACTTACCTACATCCCTGATCACGAGTCTATAAGTGCCTTTCGCTCTCTCCCCCCAGCATCGCACGGTGGAGAAGGTCCAGTCATGGAAACCGCTGGGATCCCTAGGGACAAGAAGGATAAAGCAGGAAGCAAGGATTTGAAGGCTTTACCCAGAAGTTTCCTTTCTTACTGTAATAGTCATGAAAAAGGAGCAGTTGTCTGAGCCTCATCTACTTGGGAGGGTGCCCCCAAGGGCTGCTGCTGCTGTGGTGTGGTGACAAAAGCCAATGTGGAGAAAGCACAGGCTTGGGAGTCCTATAGATGCAGGTTCATTCTTAATTTCTCAGGCACTGACTAGCTCAGTGATGCTTCTTCATACGTAAATGGAGGTTACAAAGTCTACTCTGCCTGGCTTTAAGGAGTGTTAACGAAGGTGGGGCAAAGTGCAGTGCTGAGTAGGCACTTGAACAAAGCACATACTAAAGGGCTTCCAGCTGCCCAGGGCAGCCAGCGCCGCAGCAGCTTAGGACAACAGTATCGACTCTTTCCCTGCAAACGGCCCTGGCTGCAAGGGAGCTCAGAAGGTACAGGCAGGTATACGTACGAGTCCATGCTGCGGGGGGCGCCGATAAGGGACATCATGCCACTGGGGCAGAAGAGCTTCAATTCCAAGCTGCCGCGCCGTGGATGGGTGATGGAAACCGTCACTGCCACATGTTCCAGGGTCTTCAGCCCCGACATCTCCAGGTCCGTCCTGCTGACTGTGGGAAGTCAGGCTGGGCAGCTGGGAAACCAGCCGCATAAACACTGTGCCCTCACTTCATCCCACATACACAAAGACACACAGTTGCCGGGACAACAGCAACTTTCTCTGGGCCCCAGGGGACACTAGTAAGTCGAATATAACTGCTGCTTTCAAGGAGTTTCCAATCCAGGATAGATCTGGAACTGCAGGGAGCAATGCCTGCTAGTTGAGAAGATAATATGTATCCGAGACACATATATGAACCAAAATAACAACTTGAATCACTCATTAATCCCCCAAAGAAGTGACTGAGCACCTCCGACATTTCAGGCCCTGCCTAGAGGCTGCGATGCAAAGGTAAGTTGGACAGGGCCTTTGCCTTCTACCTGCAGGTAGAAAACGAGAGAATGAGGTATAATAAGTGCTACTAGGCAGAGATGAGTCAGGTGGGTTTAGGCACAGTCGTGATAGGCTCCGAAGAAGAAAATGATACGGAGTGATAGAGTGGGGTGATGGGGAATTCTAGAAGGGGAAATGCCATGTCCAAAGGCAGGGATGGAAATGAATAAGTTTCACACTGAAGGTAAATGGAAATTTTAAAACAATGACTAAAGCCAATAAATTTCAAGAAAACTACTGAACAAACCTGTCAATATCAAAAGAATATAAGGGGCAGGATAACATTTATGTAATATTCATGAATAAAAGACCAGTAGAGATCGAGAACAAAGATTAGTAATTGCCAGTGTTAGGGAGAGGCAGAGGAGATGGGAATGACCAGAAAGGGGGGCATGGAGCCTTTTGGGGTACACCTCTGGACCTTTGTTGTGGTGGTTACGCAGGGCCACACAGGTGGTGAGATCGCAATAGTGCTTGCATAAGCGTGCATGTGTATGTGCGCGCGCACACACACACACACACACACAGTCTAGTGTGGCGAATCCGAATAATCTCTCTGGATTGTACCATTGTCATTTTTGTGACTTGATATGGTACTGTAATTGTTTAACACATTAACATCAGGAGACGGGTGTGCAGGACTTCCCTGAACATTTCTTTGCCACCTCTTATGAATTGACAATTATTTCAAAATAAGGTTTAAAACCCAAGCTACTGGGCCTCCCCGGTGGCGCAGCGGTAGAGCGCTGGGTTGCGAAGCTGCCCGCAGCCTCTGCGGCGCCGGTTCGATTCCCGGCTGCTCCCCGGCCACCGGAGGAGGGTCCCACATGGTGCGCAGACCTCTCCTGCCACCCGCTGCTCCCCTCAGCAGTGTACTTCGGTCCTTCTGCCTGTTCTGCTCCCCGCTCTGGCTCTGGTGAATTCTCTCACCCTCCCGCGCTTCTGACTGTGCCCAGTGCATGTATAAACAAAACAAATGAACAAACAAATAAATAAATAAATAAAACATGCCTCTATTAAAAAAAAAAAAATAAATAAAAAATAAATAAAAAATAAAAGCAATGCATTTCCATAAAAAAAAAAAAAAAAAAAAAAAAAAAAAAAAAAAAAACCCAAGCTACTAAAGTAGGAGACTCAGTTAGGGAATATTAAGAAATGAGGTTGCAATGAGAAATACTTTCCAAAGCACCCTTTCTTCCGAGAATTCATTCTAACAGGCAAGTGACTTCATTCTACAGATGAAGCTCAGAGAGGCGCTGAAAGTAGAGGGCAGGGGGCCTGGATAGGAAGGCCTGAAAACACTTAATTAATTAATTAGTTAATTTATACATACAAGAGCTGGGGTATAGGCCAGAGGTGTGGGGGTGGTGGTGAGAGGATTCACCCAGAGACAGTGGGGAGCAGAACATGCAGACTGACTGAAATACACTGCTGAGGGGAGCAGCGGGAGAGACAGGAGAGGTCTGCTGCACCATGTGGGTTGCTCCCTGGCCAGCTGGGGATTGAACTCATGCTGCAGAGGCTGCAGATTGCTTCATAGATTGCGTATTAACCCCTTGCACCACCAGGGAGGCCCTGAATGTGCACATTTTAATTCCATGGGTCAACTCTTCAAAGACAATGCCCTAGTTTTTCTGAAAACAACCTGTGTCCTTTTACTTGCCCCACTCCCTTCTTGGCCCCTTCATTTTCTTCAGCCAGTTAAGCTCCTCTCTGTCCCTGACAGCTTGGCTCTCTGGCGCTCTCCTGTTTACACTCGCAAGCCCCCTTTGTTTTCCTTGCCTTTCACAGTAACTATCTGGCAGGAGTCTAACAACAGTGGGTCAGCCCAAGTATCCATCTTCCTGCCTAGCTCTTCTTTCCTACTACCAATGAAAAGCAAAAACAAACAAAGCCAGTGTCAACTCTTCACTTCCTTTGGCCTACCAGTGTTAAGAGCACGTGGGGTCCTGGAGCCATTCAGTCTGAGTTCAAACCCCAGCTCTGCCATTTACTAACTGTGAGAACTCGACTAGTTTCCATAACTATACAATAGGGATTACAGCAACAGCACCTAAACTTCATAGGGTTGCCAGGAGGACTTAGTTAATGTATTATGACATCTTATAATACTATGTATATCATAATATAATAAAGTATCATATACTATTATACATTGTAATAAAATGTTTCGCAGTGTTTTGCAAACATTAAGACTATATAAGTACTAGATATTATTTTTTTCTTTACTGTTAACTTCTCTCCTTAGCTTCCCATTCACAACATTTTTTTTTTCCTGATCAAAACAGTATAGAGCACATGGTTTGCAAAGCAAATTGGTTCTCAGTGCTTATCATGTAAAAGAACAATTCTTTATTCTATTTCCACCACCTGTGTAACCCACTCCTAGATGCACTTTGCTTTTAGTTGTTTTCTCTGGCATCTACCTCCATGTTTCTAAATAATAAGCAATATTTTGTTTACTTTACAATGACCTCATAAGTTCTGTGGAATTTGGTCAAGTAATGTACAGTGACTGTATTTCATTCCCTGAACAAACTGCTGTTTCCCACCCTTTAAATTCACGTCTCCATCATCAAAGTCTTCCCAAATTGCACAAAAAGAACCACATCACCTCTGTAAATGCTATTTTTTCTTTTTTTAAAAAAAGATACATTTTATTTATGCATCCAAGAACTGGGGTATAGGACAGAGGTGGAGGGGTGGGGGGTGAGAGGATTCGCTAGAGACAGAGTGGGGAACAGAACAGGCAGATCAACTGAAACACACTGCTGAGGGGGAAGCAGGGAGATAGGAGAGGTCTGCTGTGCCATGTGGATCATCTCCCTGGCCAGGGATCGAACTTATGCTGCTGAAGTGGCTGCTGATAGCTTCATAGTGCTGAGATTTACCCCCTTGTACCATCAGTGAGGCCCAAATGCTATTTTTTCTAATGATCAAACAAGTCAGGGCTCTCTCAATGACATCTGGCCCCTGGAGAGTCTGTTTCTGGAACTTTCTGTCCCATTCCATTGGAACCTTCCTTTACCTATTACTGGCCTTTTCCTTCCCCTCTCTCCACAACCTAATTCTACCTTTCTATATGAATATTAATTAGGCTGGGTTTGATCAATTAAAAGTAATTTTCTTCAGAAGGTATTTGGAGGATTTTTTTCAAATGGCAGGTGGTCCCTAGTATCTTCAGAAGCCTGAAGGAAGCTCTAACATGGGTGGGGCTTTACAACTGGTGGGCTTCCCTAAAGTTTAATTGCACCCAGACCTGACTGTTTCCTTGCGCAGCCCTACACATCAGTATCTCTCAGTCTTTTGATGAGGAGTTGTTCTACTTCTCCAGAGGAGTCTTCCTACCTCCTGGCTGCCAGTGCCTGGGTATCTGAGCAGCTGGCTTGCTAGGGAATGGTCTCCCCACCACACTACATGCCCTGTTTCTGGAGAATAAAATTCCAACTCCCAGCAGCATAAGGAAGGGACCAGTCTCATACCTCCTCTCTGTCTTCTGAGGCCTCCAACTCTTGAGCCATGTGGGATTCTGTACTTTGAATGGGCTTATTTCTTAGCATTTCCCTTGCAGGTATTTGGTAAGCAATTCTCCTAGCCCTGCTCACTCTTGCAAAAATGTGATGAAATCTCTCATTTGCTGTGGTCCCTTCTCTCCTTCTCTTTGTTCTGGTGCTTAGACCATTTTTATTCTTACTTTGATGATGTTTAGAGAGAAAGCAGAGATAAAAGCCTGTGTTCAATTTGTCATCTTTAACCAGAAATCTTTTCTGTCCCTATTAATTATTCAAGCAACTGCAATCTAGCTTTGGCCCCTGTGAGTACACTGAAGCAATTCTTCTCAAGGTCACCAGCGGCCTCTTTGATAAACCTTGGGATGCCCTTCAGTCCTTGTCTACCTGCCCTCTCTCATCAAAACTGTCCTAGATTCCTGATACCAACCTCCTGAATTTTCTCCTACCTCTCTGGCCCTCTCTTCTCATTTTTCTCTAGAGATTCCGTTCCTCTATCCACTCCCTCAAAATCAGGCTCTGTTCTGCATCCACTTTTATCCTGTTTCCTCACCAGCCCTGGTGCTCTCATTCTTATCCAGACCCATTCCTTCCATTTGTATACTGATGACTCCCAAACCATTATAAATTATTTATTCAGCTGCTTTCTAGTTAAAACTTTTAGCTATTTCACAGAAGCCTGTGACATAATATGGCCAAAATGCTCCTCCTCAGTTCTTCATAGTCTGGAGCCCTTCACCAAATTTGTTCTTCCTCCTGGTTCATAATTTCATTTGATTGAGTCACCATCTAATCACCTGCCCAAGGCAAAAATCTGGAAATCTTTATGTCTGCCTGCCTATCTATCTATCTATCTATCTATCTATCTATCTATCTATCTATCTATCTATCTATCTATCTATCTCATGAGTATATATTCATAGCACTTTATATATAATAAGTGTACCTATAGTACAGAATCTACATGTACATATTTTTATTACAGAAAATTTCAGACACGTATAAAAACAGCAAGAACAGGGGCCTACCTGGTGGTGCAAGGGATTAAGGCACAACCTATGAAGCTATCTGCAGCCACTGCAGCATGAATTCGATTCCCAGCCAGGGAGCTACCCACATGGTGCAACAGACCTCTCCTGACTCGCCTGCTGTTCCCCTCAGCAGTGTATTTTAGTCAGTCTGCCTGTTCTGTTCCCCACTCTGTCTCTGGTGAATCCTTTCCCCCCCCCCCCACCTCTGGCCTGTATCCCAGTTCTTATATGCATAAATAAATAAATCTTAAAAAAAAAAAAACCAATAGCAAGAAAATATTCTTAACACCTAAATTCAATAGTTACCACTAAATGGCCCATCTTGTTCCTTTTATGCTCCCCATTTCTTCCCCTTCCCAGATTCCTTGGACAGAATCCCCAAGCGTATCAGAATCCCCAAGCGTATCAGTTATCAGTAGGTTTCAGTATGTCTCTCTAAAGGATGAAGCCTTCGGAATCTCTTGTGTTCTCTTTTCCCCTCACTGCCAGCATCAGTGGGTAAGAATTTCTCTGAAATGCTCCCCAGAGGTCAAGCTAAAGTACAGGCTCCTGACGGGGCACACAGAGTTCTATCTGGCCTGCGGCCTGCTCTGTAGGTCTTCCTTGTGCTCCCGCCACCCTGCGTGAACTACGGCTCCCTGAGAGCTTGTTGACTTTGCACATGTCACCCCGTGGCCTCACTGTCCCCTTCCTCGGCTCCTCTCCTGCCTCCTGAAGAAATCAAGAGACATTTCAGGGAACAAGTGGGAAACTAACTAGAGGGGAAAGGAGAAGGGAGGAAGTAAGGAGAAGCAAAGGACAGAGAGGGATTGAAAATTCCAGTTTCAAGTTTGGGGCCTAGGGGTTGGTAATGACATTGATAGAAATGGGAGAACCTTGGAAAGCAAGATGGTTTTTGAGAAGCGATAATGAAATCTGAAATTTTATACAGGTCAAATGTAATATGTTGGTGGAATATCCAACAGTGCTCAGTGCTGGAGATGTTTGGGAATCTTTGGTGAACACCACAGACTCTCGTGTGTTTCAGACTCTCCCCTCCAACCCCACTCTCCTTCCTATCCTCTGGTAGAGACTTCAGACCCAGAGACAGATCTCAAGGAACCTTCCCTGCCATAACCCCCTTCCTGCCAAAGGGGAGAAATGAAAACCTGTCATGACAAAAACCAATAACCAAACCAAACACCTGTCTTTCTCTGGAGCCCAGTGTGACAGCCGTCAGTCACATGCGGCAATTTATACTCAGTTATAATAACTTAGCTCCTCAGTCACACCAGCCCCATTTTAAATGTTCAACAGCCTCATACCACAGTGAATGGAGCAGCACAGACAGTAAACATTTTTCATCATTATAGGAAGTTCTATTAGCCCCCACTGCTCTGGAATCTTAGGGTATTTCACCCCCTCTTCTATTTCAGAGATGTGCAACTCCCTCAACCTTACACAAAAGTTCACTTGCCAGTTCTCGGACACCCAGGCCTGGGTGGAAAAAGACTAGTTTGTCTCCGGGGAAGAGGTTTCTTGACTGTCTGGACCTTCCTTATTCAACTCTATTATAACTGGCCACTTCCTTCAACCTCCCAGCATGCCCACCAGCTTGTGCCTTCTGTTCTGCCTGCTTGAGGGTAAATGGACAGAAATTAGCAGCAATTCTGCTTGCTGCCTCCAAACTGATGATAAGCCCCATTTGCAAAACGTCTGATATCTCTGCCTCCCTTCTCATCATGCGTCTGTCTCCACTATCCCACCTCCCAATCTCTGCTGCCCATGACACCTGTCCTTCTTTCTCGTTTTCCCAGTGACAAACTGCGCAGTTAGTTGTCACATGCTCTATCCCTGGGGAAGCCTGTCAGACATGGGGGGTAAGGGGAGCACTCCCTGGTTAGTGGGAAGCAGAGGATGACAATGCTGGAAAGTCTCCTAACTCTCTTCTAAGTTAATCCTCTCATCTGAGGGATGTGACTGAGTCAGGCCTGGCTTGGGGGGTAAGCACTAAAAGGCACACTGTCTCCAAGACGTGTGAGCACAGAGCCCGGGGTTCCGATGGAACTGCATTCCTGGGAAGGTTCCTGCACTTCTCGGCCTCGGCTGATGTTTCGTGCCCTTTCCGAGATAGCATTCCTTTTACGGAAAATCCATGAACTGGGCCTGTGGATGTTCTTCCATGTAGAGGGAAGCTGGGCCAGAGCTGGCCAGGGGGAGAGAGAGAGGACAGAACTCCTCTGGGGAACCTCCACCCCAGGGATGCTGCCACTGCCCCTCCCTCTGAGCTCCCCTCTGGCCATTCCTCTCATCACTGCTCTGGTTTGATCACTTCCTAGGAGGATGGGAAAAGTGACAAGGATTTCCAACTTGGGTCAAAGCATGACATGCTTCACACACACACAAAAAGTCAGTAACTTTGTCAGAATCTCACAAGGGAAAAAAAAGTCTCCAAGGAGCTGGAGGTGGGCGAACTCTCCAGGGGAGCTGTGTGAACTGCAGACGGGCTCCTCTGGCGCCAGTACCCCGAGCCAGCTGCCATCACTCTGGGATGGGGTTCAACCTCCGCACACAACAGGAAACCATGTCTCCAACTTACAGACCTCCAGATAAGGCCAGTCCCCTGGGCATGATGGAGGCGGGGGCAGAGGACATGTGACCGCTGTCTGGGGAAACCTCTACCTTCCTGTCTGGCTCCCATCCCCAAAAGGCCCCCAGTGACTCTGTATCAGACAAGCCCATCTCCTTTACTTCACCCAAAGGCCACTGGGCTGAAGGGACTGTCTGGCAAGTTCTTAGCATGGAAATGAAAGGAACTTCTTTCAACTCTTGCCTCGTCGCCCCAAGTCCCAGTTCTACTACTCCCGCCAGCCTTCCTAATCGGTTGCTCAGCAGCCTTTTCCACTACTAGTAACTCAGGAGAAAGGTCTTGTTTAAGCAGCCAGGGGGCCAGCCAACTCAGAAGCAGCAACATGTCCTAAAATGGTCAAAGAAAACTCCACAGGTTTGGCTGGCGCTCAGCTCCTAAGGAAGGGGTAGAACCCGGCAGGAGGATGAGTCTAACTTCCCCATCACCCCGCCCCAAACCTCAGGCCCAAGATTAACCCCCTTTTGCTGACTACTTACCATTCCACAGGACCTCCAGGGAACGGGGGGACAGCGGAATAGCCTTGTTCTCTTTTAACACAGGGCTGACATAGGAAGCCAAGTAAGGGACAGATGTCCAGACCTAGTAAAGGACGAGGCGGGGGTGGGGTGTGTGTGAGTGAATAAACATAACTGATGTCACACACACTCCCTCACTACTATGATCTTTAGGGCCCAGAGCTCGTTTTTATTTTTCTCTCTCCTCCTCATCACCTTCTTTCACTCCAGGGGCTCCAGCTGACAACCTGGAATGCTCCCTGGGCACCAGATTGAGGAACCACAGGAAATGGCTATATCCGGGTGGCATGATGGGAACCAGGACCTGAACCCTCCCCCCTCGCCCCAGCCCTTCCCAGAGAGTCCCAAGTTATACTCGGGCCCTGTGTACTCTCTACAAATAGCCTGGCAACTTCAATTATAGCGTTGAGCCTGTGTCTTCATTCAGCCCGGATAAGGGTAAAATTAATGAAACGGTTAAATAACTGTAATGAACGAGTGACCACTTATTAAGCACTGGCGAGGTGCCAGGCAATGTTTTAGGGATTTAGTTCCCTCCCTTGGTTTCTCCCTACAGGACTCGCTGCCCTGCCAGTGCCGGTCACCTTGGCGGCATTCACGAGTCTCCAAGCGTTGAGCAGGCCGAATCCATGCTGGTGGCTGTGGCTGAAGCCGGCCTCGTTGGTGACCCAGTCTGCGCGGCGATCCTCATACTGAAAGGACAGAAGTCCTGGCTAGCTTCTTGCCTTTCCACTGTCATCCCAACACCCTTGCTGTTTTTTCCTGCTCACCCAGCCCAATCCAGCCCAGACTCCCACGAAGGGCAGTAGGAATGGGCTCCCCAAGGGAAGCTGGGACAAAAGGGCAAAGCCCCATGATGTCACCACTAGAACAGCTTGCTTCTAGAGCGGGAACAGAGGGGATCATGGGCTCCAGAGTGAAGGGCCCAGCCAGAGTCCTCCTCACCTGGGTGGCCGTGAAGACAATGATGTTCTGGACGTCACGCCATGTGAGGCAGGGCCGCACCTGCAGCATGAGGGCTATCATGCCAGCCGCCAGGGGGGCAGCTGCTGAGGTCCCCGTGTGGCCCTCAGTGCAGCCTGTGCCCTTCTGAAGGTCCCAGTCAGTGGTCACCTGGGAGGTGGAATGGAGGGCAGGGTTGGATACTGTGGAGTGGGGGGAGGGGAGCAGCCTCAGACCCAGGTTCTCAGGTGGGCCTTCCTGTGAGAGTTGAATCTTTGACCAGAGGGAGGTCCACAGACAGGTCAGGACAGAGGGGATCCTGAATCCTTCTAGGCTTCACAAGACAGTCCCTGGAGTGCTGACAACAGAATAATAACCATTAAAGAGTTACTTATGAGGGTCTGGCAATGGGGGAAGGAGATGGTGAGAGGCCTGACTGCAGAGGACAGGATCCCGACTCTGATCCTCCGATAACCATTCCCCAGTCCTCCACCCCAGGCCCCGCTCCAACCTTCCAGCCCCCGCACCCAGAGGCAGTGGTCAGGAGCTCCGGGCCCCTGGCTGGAACTGGGACAACAGTGACGGCACCATTCAAGGAAGTCCAACTTGGCAGCTCGGCGCCAGGGGCTGGAGAGACATCAGTGAGAACAAAGGGAGTGTGTTCCCAGGAAAGGGGAACCAGCTGCTTGTCCAACCCATGGCTTGCCACCGGCTCAGTGTCTACACTGCCTGCCTGGCCTGGCCTTTGGCATCAGCAGGACAAACTGCCTCCTTGTTCTGGGCCATCACCTCAGTGTGGTTTCCAAAAGTCCCCCTTTTCTACCTGTGGTTCTGAGGCGGGAGGTGAGAGTCACCTAGTAGGGGGGATAGAGTCTGTCTGGCATCCTCTGGAGCCACATTAGCTGAGGGCCCTGCCTAAATCTTCTCTCCGATGTGACTTTTTGGATCCTTAGCACATGGTGCCAATGTTAAGATCACAGAATTGTTTTTTCCTCGCTTCTGTCTGGGTCGGACACCAAGGTGCTAATTTCTGCCAAGAACTGCCTTTCTTCATTGTTCTCACAGCCTCCCTCCCAGCTCTCCCAGCTGTTATAGCAGCTGATATAACTGTCACTCGGACACTCTGCACTCCCAGAAGAAAGGGGGTTGTAGCCTCAATGAGAGGGCAGCCTGGCCTGTGCCAGGGAGCAGATTGCTTTCTTCCTGTTAAGGAAACAGCCTCACAGGGACAGTCTAGTACTCAGCTGGGAGGCCTGTGAACTTGCCTGGGGAGGCAGGAGCCCCGGGCAGCCACTGCTAAGACAGGGAGCTGCCCCAGGTCGCCAAGGGGTGGGCAGTATCACCAGCATGCCCTGCCCACAGGAAGTCTGATCCACTGAGCTGCCTGTCCAAGGGGCTTCCAAGGCAAGGGCATCCCAAAAATGGGACCTTGGCTAAGCAAACTCTTTCTGGGCCACTTACACTTCAGATGGAAGGTGGGGCGGCGTTAAGGAGTGGAGTGAGGAGAAAAGCCAGCACCACAGGGCAACCTTGACGATTATGCTGAGGAGCCTTCCCAGGGCTGGGCTGGGTGAGGGGAGCGGGTTCCTGCTGAGTTCTGCCTGGGCCTGGAGAGCATAGTACGTTCCTACTCTTCCTCCTCAACAACCTGACCTGGGGTGGGGTACCTTCTGTGCCATACCCCAGCCTGCTGAGCAAAGCCTCTCTTGCCTTTTTCCTTTAGTCCAGTCCCTCTTTTTCTTCTCCCTGGGGTGCAGGGTTAGGTTGGGGTTAGCTGGCACAGAGCCTTGGAACACTGCGTTGACAAGAAGTCAGTTATTGGCAAAACAAAATTTCAGTTTTGGAAAATGAATCTGACCCCACAGGAAGACAAGAAGCCTAATTGCCAATGACTCTAGAGCCCTCTTGGACCCATCAGGGCCACTGGAGAAATGTGAACTCTGACATCACCTGGCTCACCACCCCCCCAATCTGGAGCCTCTTGTCCCCACATTACTGGTCACGAGCAGCAGGCGGTTCTCTGAGGGATGATGATGATGGTCCACAGTCCTGGCTTGAACCTGCCGGGATGGAGCTAAGCCAGTGGGTGCAGGCACTCGACCCTAAATTCTTTGATAGACTCCCAGAGCTAGAAAAGCTCACTCCCTCGCTCCAATCTGGTCAGCTATGGCTCCAATTCCAGCTCCAAGGAAAGAGGTGTCTCTCAGGCAGACATTTTCCTGACTCCTTTCCTTACCCACCCCATAAAAGCACACACCTGCTTCACTTCTGAGGAGCAGTATGACCAGAACTCAAGGGGTTTACACAAGGGCTGAAGAGCAATGGAGGGATGACTTTTTTAAAGCCAAAACGTAGCCAAAGCTCAAGTTCTACCAAAGGAAGACAGTTTCAAAGAAGTCATTTAATCGATGGGATGCTTAGTAGTTCCTATAACAATGAGAATATGGGCAAGCTAAAAATTTTAAGGCAAAAACTATGGACACAAATTTAATTGGTGTCCCCAGTTCTGGTCTTCCAGCAGGGGCAGACCTTACGCGGTCCAGCTCAGTTAGGGAAGAGGAGGCTGACGGGCAGGACAGGAGACAGGGTACAAACAGAAACCCAGTTGTGATGCCCGAGAGAAGTCCTGTGGGGAAAGGCCGGGAGGGGCTTGGGCAGCACTTACAATGCTCCGGAGCATCTTGTCCCCCCCACTGAAGGTGACCGCCAGCATGGAGGCGCACTCCTCTGCATAGAAAGGCATCCGCCCCTCCTCATCCACAGCACCTGGGGACGGAGCAGGGGAAAGGGGAGCCGAGATGAGGGGATGGCCTGAGCATCGTCTCCCCTGCCACACCTACTCATGTGCTCTTCACACAGTCATCGTTCTCCACATGTAAGAGTTAGTAAGTCACGCTCTGCGACCATGGGGGCCAGATGGAGGAGGCTGGTCCTGATCTCATCTCCGGGAGGAAGGTGGGTTGCTAATATGTGCAACTGGCTGGCAAATGTTGTGGACTGGAGCACAGGTCCCAGCCCTAGGGGAGGCGGGGATCAGGAAGGCTTCGAGCAGGAGACAAGCGGCCCATGGGAAGAGAGGCTGGGCAGAGGCCTAAGCAGTGGTGGTGGAGGTAGAGGTGGGGTGGGCAATGTCCAGAGGTTGGGGTGAATTCCCATGGCATGCTGGGATCTGAGGAAGCCCTGTAATCTCTGGAGAGCGGAGCTCATCCCTCCTGAAGAAACACATGTGCTCACATGTGCAGAGAGACACATGGAAGATGGGGCACCCCAGACACCCAGTCCCCTCACCACTAAGGCACACACACAGAACCAGCAGGCGCTACCTATGGTGACGGTGTAGATGGAGTTGGCGTAGCCGTCATAGTTGCAGTTGTCGTTGTGCTGGCCTCCGTTGCCACTGGCGACCACGAAGATGCTTCCAAAGCCCTGGCGGCCGGCGATTACCCCATGTTGCAAGGCAGCCTGAGGAGAAAAACATCTGGGGATCAGCTGAAACTCCTAGAAAGACCTCTACCTTCTACATCAATTGTCCTCTCTTCCCCTCCAGAAGGAAAAGGGTAAAAAACTCAAAGGGCACTGGGCATGGACAGAAGAGATTTAAATATGGACACAAGAAGGAAAGAAGCTGTTAGCTGAGAGACTGCTTGAAAGCTGTGCTCTGCTTATCACACTGGCGGGGGCTAAGAATGGGAAGCTGAACATGAAAATCAAAGGAAAACAATCTCAAAGTATTGTTCCATTTCATCCCCTACAAGTCACCACCTCCAGGTGAGCCGGCGGGGTGAGCTGGCATAGGGCTGGCACTGCCAATAGGGGTGGGGAGTCAGAGGGATCAATTTGTAGTAGTTCTTATAGAACGAAATTAAGTCTTCAGTTACCTTTCCAAGCTGATGGGGGCCATCCACTGTCTTTCCATCATCATCTGGTCCCCAGCTGTTGAGAAAGACCCAGATGGAAGAGCTGGAGCCAGGATGTGGCTGCCTGTTATCCCCGTGCTGCTCTCCTCCCCGCCCAGCCTCCTGGTCTCAGCTGGCCACCTCTCTGCCTTGGCTCTTACTCTACCCCAGAGGGTCCCATGATTGAAGGATAGAGGGTCCCAAGGTCCAGACCTCACCCCGAAGTGGAAAACAGAACTGTGGGCTAAGGCGCCTCTTCCTCGGAAATATTTCCAGGCTAGGACTACTTTAACTCGCCCCTCAGATCCTTTCTCAGGTCCCAGGGAGCAGGAGACCAGACAAGGTGGTAGAGAGGGGTGGGGGCCATCTCTCTCCTAATCTAGGGATCTGATACTAGGCTGATGGCAGAGGACCCACGAGCTCCCATAAGTACTCGATCTGTGTGGGGTCTTGGGTCTTAGGCTGAGTTCTCTATTCTTTCTCTAAGAAAAAGCAAACACCATGCATAACAATATTATGGATTTGGGGGAGTATAGATAAGGGGAAGAACAGGTACCATCAATGCCATGAGGGCAGTTTCTCCTTATACCCACCCCCACCTCTGCCATCACATGATAGCCTGAAGCCATAGGTGTATTTACATGTGTAGGATGCAGGGGTTGGCACTGAGTGTTCAACTTAGCTATGGTTAGAGAGGAAAGCCTCCTTTCTCCCAGAGGCCTTATGAGTTTATTAAACAAATAAGCAGAGGGCAGGATGGAGACTCCTCACAAGGCAAACTGATTACTGGGTGACCTGATCTTAAGGCTGAGCACCCAGTGACTGGGGGTCAGGAGAAATGAGGGCAATGCCCCGGGGCCTCACCCTAGTGAGGAGTGCCCTGCCTGGATGTGCCCGAATGAGCCCATTTTTCTGTTCCTTCAGTGGAAGATTCAGCCCAGATTCTCCCACCTCTGTCCCTCCCCCTTACCCGGGGTCTACTCACCTGCAGCTGTAGATGTCATTGATCTGATAGTGCTTATTGAAGGCCACAGCCTCCATGCTGTCGGTGAGGGGTCCGTCCAGCACCCGGATACCTAGACAGTAAAGTCATACCAGCTCCTAAATAATGCTGGTCCCCCAGATGGGGAACTGGGTGGTGGGGAGCCTCATGAGGACTCATTTTTCTCTCTAAGTTTTCTTGCACCCTTTGAATTTATATACCACGTGGACATACCTATCTAGAAATGTGCTAAATATCTGACTCTCAGGCTCACAGGGTCTGGTGGGAAGAGGCATAGGCTAGAATGTAGGAAGCCAAGGTCCTTCTTATCTGCATCTCTAGAACACCTGCACAGTGCTTGACCCACAGAAGGTGTCAACAAAAGGTACTCATTATCACTACTAGTACCGTAGATGCCCAATTTTGTCCTCCAAAACAGAGAGGGTCCCATCCTGATGACCACATAAGGACAAAGGGGGCTTGCAGAAGGGACTTAGGCCCTGAAAGTTTCTGGCTCCCTCTCTAGCCTCATAGAGAGGGCGACTGCCCTCTGCTGGAGGGTAAGAGGAATTACAGCCAATCTATTCAGCATAAAGGCTCTAAGGACTTACAGAGAATCATGGGGAGAATGTCCCTATTCATGCCCTTCACCAGGCCGATAAGCAAAGGAACAATAAAACAAACCTAGGGCAGGGGCAGGGCTGCTTAGGAGTCTTGAAAGGATGGAGAACAGATGGCAACTGTCAGACCATCAGAAGGCCTGGGAGCTGGAGTGCTAGGAGCCGGGGGAGGCACCACCACTGACATAATGGGGACTGGTGGAAGGGCAGATGGGAAGGCACTCGATGCTTGATGAAAACACAAGCATAACAGAAATGTAAAAGGCGTCGTCATTACAAGTTGGGTCACTCACTCCACACTGAGAGCATCTCTACTTTCATCTGTTTTATATGGTGGGCACTGTTGATAAAAACATGTTTGCAAACCACTACACTGGGAACCGTCGACGATGTAACTTGCACTATAGATACTGACCGGAAGCTACTCTGGGCGCTGAGCTGCCTGAGAGGTCAGGGGTGGGGGGAGAGGGACAGATGGTAGGGCACCTGCGATGCGGCTCCCGAACGCCACTCCCACAGCACAGAAGCTGTTGTTGGGCACAGCAGCGATCTCTCCCGCGCAGCGTGTCCCGTGGTGATTGCCATTCTCCACGTCCGGGTGGGGCATAGGGTCCGGGTCATTCGAGTTGAGGTCATAGCTGCCCTCAGGGCACTGAAACATTGGGGAAGGCACCACATGGTCACTCATGGTTCAAAGGGTTCAGGTCTTAGGGTCCAGGAGAGCGGGAACTGGACATTTAGGTCTCTGGCCAGGGTGGCAGATCTACCTCTCCCTGTATGGGCTACTAGATATGACCGGCGGGGTGGGGGTGGGGGTGGCGCTATGGGCAAAGCTCAGAAGTGCCTCAGCTCCCAGCAACTTCTTTCTTGTCCATTTTAGACATGGAAATTGCTCCACGGCTTGAAAAACTGGGGATAGATTTAGGGCTACTTAAAGGCCAGGCTTTGAAAAGAGGAAAGTACTAAAACCTGTGGGGGGAGGGGAGTTGCCTACAGGAATCACTTCATACTCCTGAGGGCAGAGAGCAAAGGCTGGAACCAGAAAGTAGGCCTGGAACCAGGAAGATCCTCTCTCTTGCCAGATGGGGGCCACTCCCTGTACTTGAACTGCCAGCCTGGAATGCTGACTAGGGGAAAAGGATGACAGGCTGGGTACCTTCCAGGTGCCCGGGGATTGACCCAATGACCTCCAGACGGGGATTGACCCAATAGACCCCAAGGGATCAAGCCTAAGGCCATACCAAAAAAGGAGGTAAGATATGGGGGTAGGAGGGTCAGTCCAGGGCCACTCACATAGTTGGGGGCGATGTCCTGGATGGTGTGCTCCACACCGTCATCCACCACCACCACAGTCACACCTCGTCCAGTAACATTGCGCTCCCATACACCTGTCACGTTGATGTCCCTGCCAGGACTCCGTCTGTTATTCTGCAGGAGAGACAGGGTGAGGAACTGTTGTCAAGCCTGGGAATCCAGAGATACAAGGCACAACCTCCAGAGAGACAAGGTTAGAGCTGGCAGCCCTCTCCCTCTTGGCCACTGTTGAAGAGCCAGACTGCGGTTGTAGACCAAGAAGTGCAGGTGAGGACAGAGTCAGGGGGCACAAGTGAGTCTTGTCCCTGCCTATGTCTCTAGGAAGGTTTGGTATCATTCATGTTGATAATGGATCATGGTGACTAGGGCAAAGGGATGGATAATTGCTGTGCCATGTATAATGTGTGTGTGTGTATGTGTGTATATATATATATACATATATATATGTATCTATATATGCATGCTGTATTAATGGTCCTTTTTTTAAAAGATTTATTTATTTATGCATACAAGGTGGTGTGGCTGGGGGGTGGGAGGATTCACCAGAGACGGAGTGGGGAGCAGAATAGGGGGATCCACTGAAATACACCATTGAGGAAATAGATGGGGAGACAGGAGAGGTCTGCTGTGACATGTGGGTTAGCTCCCTGGCCAGGGCTTGAATTTGTGCTGCAGTGGCTATTCGTAGCTTCACAGTGCTGAGACTTAACCCCCTGCAGAGCCAGGGAGGACCTGCATTAATGTTTTGTAATAACATTTATAAATAGAGAAAACAATTCCAAAATGGAGAGCAAACAGCAAAAAGGTTCCAAAATGGAGAACTTCATCCTGGAGCTCCCACCTTAACTTCCATGGCAATTTCAACCTCTTCTAAAAGTGTCATTCTAAACCCATCAATCTAGAATTTTTTAATCAGCACCAGTGAGGTCATGTGCATAAAGTAACCCCCTTCCCTGAAATTATCTTTTCTTTTGTTAATACCTTGTCTCACTCTCTGTCCCTAAATACTCTCCATTTTATGGAAGTCCTTGCAATAGGTAGATGAGGATGCTGCCCATTTCATCTAGTCAATCAGCTATTTAAATTGTGAATTTTGCTTTTTAATATAGTTAACATAACAAAGAGTTTATCATACACTGGGCACTGTTCTAAGTACTTCAGACATATTAACTCATTTTTCCTAACCATAACTCTACAAGGTAGGTACTATTAGAGTCTCATCTTACAGATAGGAAAACTGAGGCACAGAGTGGTCAAGCAGGTTGCCCAAGGGCACGTGGTAGTATAAGCAGCAGAGCTGGACTGGAGTCCAGGCATCCACGTCCTAAACACTGCAGCCCCCTGGCTCTCTAGAAGTGAGCACTGGGAAGCTGGAACCCATAGAAATATCTCCTTGTGCACAGATAGGGGTCACTGAAGATGAAACAGTGAAAAGCCCACTAAGAACAGGATATCCCAAACGTCTCCCTCTGAAGCTCAGATTGCAGCCTGGACTCACCAGGTGCCACTGTTGCGGGTACTTAGGGTCGTTAAAGTGGAGGCTGCGCTTGGTCCGCTTCAGCAGCCTCTGCTCCGAGTGCCAGCGCACAGCTTCGTGCCGGGTAAACACAGCCTCTGCCTGCTTCCGGATGGCCTCCACCTGCTGGTCCTTCCTATGCCCAGCAGGCTGGATGAAGAGGTAGTGTCCCTGGAGCTCCCCAATGCGTCCGGAGTTCACCAGCCCTACTGCCTGGGCCAAGGCATCTGCTTGCTGCTCCAGAGTCTCTTCCTGCCCCTCGCTTTCTGGGCTGTCCAGATGTACAGCCCAGCTTAGCCCCCCTGGCCCTTGGTCCCCAGGCCCACCAGTCCCTGCCAAGCCCATGACCCAGGGAACCAGTAAGAACTCCAGCCAGAGGCAGATGGGCAGGCCCAGGGGGGCATCCGAGTGTGGCACTTTTTGCCTCCCCCTCGGCATCAGAGCAGCAGGCTGCAGACAAAAGGAAAAAAGACATCAGAGATAAAAGAGCTGCAAACTGTGGGAATCAGAGGCTACTGAGCCATGGGTGTATTGCACCTGGAAAACCCAAACCATTCCTTTTAATTATTAAACATTTGAGCCTCTCTTTTAATTCACTTTTATCACTGACTGACAAGGATAAGCCCCTAGACAGTGTGGACCAGCACTAACCCCAGTGGACAGCTCCACAGCGTGCTGGGCCATTCCCCCTCTCAATAGAATGTCCAGTGGCTAAGGTACCAGGCTGCTCTTTCTGGCCATTTCTACTGAAAAGCTTTAAAGTTTCATCACTCCCGCAAACTACTGGCAGAATTACGACTGTTCTATAGGAGAAACCATCCATCCCTTAGTTGAGAGGGTACACAAATCTTTCCAAGTTGACTTCTCAGTTCAGGGGTCCTTAGGGCTCTCTCCCCCTGTGGGGACCCCATTCCCACCTGGACTCGCCGTGAGGTTGAGCTCCTGGTCTGGCTAACCACCTCACACTCATTTTGTGCCAGTGGAGAAAAGGCATCACTTGCACTGTCAGCAGGGTTGACTCTGAGCACTGACGGCAGACCTGTGGGCTCCGAGGAGAGAAGAAATGGTGTCCTCCTAAGCCCAGCGGAACAAGCCAAGGCTAACCATGAACCCCAGGGCCTGGGACCAAAGACAGTAGCCAACGATCAAGTATCATTTCCAAGGACCTCAAATAGATCACAGACTGGCACAGAAAGGTCAAATCAGGACAAAACCCAGAAACCCTACTTGTCCTGACACTGATACCACGCTCCTTTCTTTTCCTCTGAGACACCTGGAAGGGGCTTCAACTGTGACCCAAGACTTCTCTTGAGAAAAGAGAAGTCCAGTGGGAGCTAACTTCTGGTTTGTGTATAGCTGCAGGCTGCAGGGGGAAGCAAGAGCAGACAGAAGACAGGGGAAACAGGGAAAGTCCCAGAACGCAAGAGAAAGGGAACAAGTCTCAAGGACACGAGGGCCAGTGGAAGGGAAGAAATGACTGACTTCAGCAGCAGAGGGTGCCTTAGCATTGGCTCATCTGGGTGGCTTGCACATGAGGAATCAGATTCCAAATTTGGGACTGCCACCCATGATTTGACAGAAGTGCCATGTTAGAAATAGCAGGCAGCCATGGGCACAGGGACAGGTGAACGGGAGGCAGAACATGTATATACTGCATGTTCATTGGTGGCTGGGTTCCTCCAGGGGCACCTGCTTCTAAAGTAATCCCCCCACACATATCCAATTGGATTTGACTCAAAACATTACAGAAAATGGGTATTTGACCCACGTCTCTTTGGAAAGGAAGAAGGGAACTTTACTCCGTCTAACATTTCCTTCTAAAATGCATTCCACACCTCCTCCTTTCTTTTTCTCTTAGGTTCTCAGGCATATTCCCAGGCATATTCTCTCTCAAATTCCTCCTACCCTCCAGCATCCTCAATGGTCCCACTCTGACCCTCGATCTTTGCCAGTCTGCACACCTTTCTAACTAAAACAAAATCTTGTAAGATTGCCAGATAGTGAAGCACCTAAGCAGGCTTCTTCCCTCTCAGTAGAACCCAGGGATTTCCAGAAGAGGAGTGAAACCAGATCACCGCTTCCTCCTTCCCCCCCTGGCAAGAACAGCACCAGACTCCCACCCCAACCTCCCAGGATTGGGGACAGGAACTTCAAATGCCCTCAGAGAGCAGATTTCCATCTCATCCCAACTGGCAGGCATTTTTAGGTGCCAAGGAAGGAGGAATCAGATGGGCAGTCCAGGCTCTGGAGATTCTGCTCCCAAAGAGCCTGTCCCCCTCGCAGCCTCTGCACCCTGTTCCTACAACCCAGGCTGCCTACAGGGTCGGTGTCCTCGATTTCCCCCTCTCGGGTCAAACAGCCGCATGCAACGCGCCCCTCTCCCTGCAGGGACCCACACCGCCCCGGACTCTCAGAACCGGTGCTCGGGTCCCTGGGCTCCCCGGGCCCGGGCTGGAGGCGCCCTCTGTGCAGCTTCCTCATCCTCAGACACCGGCTCCCCCCGTTTCAGGCCACCCGACTTCCAAAGCCCCGTCCCCGCCGACTTCCCAACTCACCAGCCGGGCCGCAGCTGCTGCCGCCGCCCCCCTGCGGAAACTCGCGGCTTCCCGGGAGCCCCAGGAGCCGGTGACAGGCGCGTCACTTCCGCCCGGCGGCGCAGCCAATCAGCGCGCGCCCTCGGCCGGGCCGCCCGGCCCGCAGCCGCGGCGCCAGGGGGCCGCCTCCCGGGGCTCCCGGCCGGAGAGGGCGTGCGGCGGCGGCGGGCTCCCCCGCGGCCCCGCGGCCCCGCGTGCTCGGCATCTTCCAGAGGGGTCCTCCCCGCCGGGACCGTCTCCTCCTGCATGGCGTCCTCTGAAAGGGGCCTCTCGGTTACGATCTTTAAAACCCCCTCGCTCCTCCTTGCCCGCGGCCAGCCACGGCCCCGACAGTCCGTGCTCCCCTCCCGGGGGCTCCTTCCTTCCTTCCCTCGGGCTTTCCTCCTTCTCGCGCTCGCGTCGCGGTTCCTCCGGGCGCCCCGGAGAGCCCACGTGTATCTCAGGGGGCCGCGGCCGCGCCGGCGCCCGCGCGACGATGCCGGCTCTCGCCGCCAGAGGGCGCCGTCGGGGGCGGCGCGGCGCCACCCGCGGCCTCTCCTCTCCCGGCCGAGCCCCGCCCCTCCGCTCGCGCCGCCGGAAGTGGGAGGTGTCGCGCGCGGGCAGGCGCTCGACCCCTCCCCCCGAGGCCCGGCCGCCCCCTCCCCCCGCTCCTCCCGCTCAGGTGCGTCCCGTCCCTCCCCCCACTTCCCTCCCGGGGGCGCGGCGCGGGAGGTGTGTGCGGGGCGGCGCGCGGGGAGGGGGCTGCGGCGCGAGGGGCGGGGGCGAGGGCGGGGGAGGGGGTGAGGTTGGGGCGTGGAGGGTGCTGCGAGGACGGGGCGGGGGTCCCGGCTAGGGGTGGCCCCGGGGCTGTCCGCGGGCGGGGCGGGGGCGGCGGGTGCAGGGCTCCGGCCCAGGAAGCGGTCCGTGGAGACACCCCCTGTGGAGGGTGGCCGCGGACACCCCGCGCTGCTTCCCCCCATTGTCCCCTTGGCCACTGTCGCCCCTGCTCCCCCGAGGACCCGTCGCTCTGGGCACCTGGCTGGTGGTCGCCGCCGGCCTGCGGCGCGGGGATCCCGGGGTGTAGCCCACTCTGCACCCCACACTGCAGCCTCCGGCCAGATGTACCTGTCCTGCTCCACCTTGGGCAGTGCAGCCGCGGAGTTGCGTGACTCGCACCCTGGGTGTCCTTTACTGGGCGCCAGGACCCCCGAGCCGGGGCTCATTTGGGCCAGGAAGTGTGCACCTGAGGCAGCAGGAATGACGATTGGGGGCCCGTTTTCTCACCAGCTTTGTGTAGTAGGGGAAACTGAGGCACAGAGGGTCTTTGGCCTGTGACTGGAGTGTTGACATAGCCTGGTCTCTATGCCTGTGCTATGTGTGCTTCAAGGTTCTGGGGTTGAACTGTGATGCTGTTAAAATAAAAATGAATTTAAAGTGAATTCACTGTTACTGCCCCACCACTGCCCAAACTATCCTTTGCCCCCTTTATCTCTGCACCATAGAGGGCCTTGAATTTTTCCTGCAATATAAAGGATGATTCTTTGATCTAAGAAAAGTATTGTCTTGCTTCCCTTCCTTGAGTTACCCTGTTTTTCAGCTTATTTTCATACTCTTGCGCCCCTGTAGTGACTCTGAAAAGTCTACTTACCTCACTTGGTGGTTTATCAAACTTTTCCCATTTGTGGGGAACCCTGTGATGGAGGAAAAGATAACTGGGATGGTTCAATAGAGTATTGCTTTTTCTCACATGCAAACACCTCCAAAAAACTTGACTTAAATTAATGGAGAGATTGCTTTTAATGTAACATGAAACAACATATTACTGATATGCCCCACCATACAAGCTTTATAGTAGACTAGGTCTGTTAACCATTTGGAAGACTCTTACAGACTATAGTCTGTTTTAAATGACTGCATTTCTGCCAAAAGTGGACACCAAAACTTTTGTACCTACTTCTGCATGTTTATCTATTTGTGGTGACTCCTAGGATTTCATGTACTGGGACCTATTGCATGCAATGCCTCTTACTAATACCCTTCTAAAGGATGCTCAAGTATTTTCTTCTGGAGCCCAACTTTTTCTCTGTTTCTTTCCTGCAACAACTCTGTTGTAAGGACATGCTGAGGGGGGCAAGATACATTTGTTAAAAAAATTTGAAACCTGTAACCTGCAATTTCTTTCTGAATGTACAGAGCATGATGGCAGCATCTGAGGTAGCTGGTGTTGTGGCTAATGCCCCCAATCCTCCGGAATCCACTTCTAGTTTATGTGCTTCCAAATCAGATGACAGTCTCCCAGATGGTCTAAGGTAATGTGTGAATTCTTGATTGGGTATATTTCATGTGGGTAAAGGGCTTTCGAGATGGGTTAATGGAAGGGTAGCTGGTCCTTCCTGTTTGGGGCTCTAGTGGCACTGCACTAGATAAAGCTTTAAAGGTAGGGACCATCTGATCTGTAGTTGTATTTCTGGCATCCAAAACAGCCCTGACACTTAGCAGGCATGCTGAATGTTTGTTGGATAAATAGATGAGAAAACAGGAGGTCAGACATCCCAAAATGCAAATATTTCCCCACGCTATCCTACATGGACTTATGTTCATTTAATTACATGTTTATGTATCATACCTCTGTGTGTTTGTGTGTATATGTATTGTACTATATTATATAGATATATGTATATAGATGCATCTACACACGTTTGTGTATTTATATATCTATATCCACAGATAAATAAATATATCTTTGATATTATGATTTACTGGATACTTTCTACCTAAACTCTTGAGGGTAGGAATTATAATTGTCCAAACCTGCATTTTACAGTGGTGAACACATTGTTATATACAATGCTGTACTAAATTGAGATTATATATTCTACTTCAACTCTTTTTCTAGAGTATCTACGCCTTAATACAATACATAATGTTGTACTAACAGCTTTGTATATATTCATACATTTAACCATTACAACAGTCCACGGAGTTAGGTGCTAATATTATCATTCCCATTTACAGGTGAGGAAACTGAGACACAGAGAGGTTAGTAACTTGCCCATGGTTGCCAAGCTATCTTAGAATCAGGGTTTAAACTGGCTTGTCAGACTTCACAGTACTTACTAAATATTTGTTTAATTGAAGGGAGGTTGGTTAGTGAATGGGTAATGGGGAAAATGTTAAAGTTAGTCTAACTATAAACTTGGGTCTTCATTTTATAAATAGAATCAGCCATATACAACTAGTAGTAATAATGGCAGTGAGTTTTTTCGAGTGTTTATACCATTACAGTCTACTTCATTGCATTATCTTACACAGTCTTCACAGCAATCCTATTATGTGGGTAATATTACCTCTCTTTTACAAGTGAAGCGAATTAAGTGCCCAGAGTTAAACCACTAGTAAAAGGTACTCAGGATTCCCACCGAAGCACTGTGTATGTCCAAATTTATAATTAAATACCCCTTCCACCTCATTTAACCCCAGCAAGGAATCAGTAATACTCTTGTCACAGGATGCTCTCTTAATTGTTTTATTTCGAACAAGTACAGTTGAGGGGAAAAGACACATTGGTCTGAAGCCCAGTCAGTGCTAATTTGGGGCATTACGTAAGGGTATTACTTGACAGAGTTAGTTTAAAGGGCAAAAAAAATTAACATAGATTTAGTCATTATTCCTGGTGAAAGATTTATAGATGTAAAGATTGGATGTTGATGCAAATAGGTTTTAAATATTTCTTTAGAAAGCAGTAAGTTAATGGCAAAAAAAAAAAAAATATATATATATGTAACTATCCCAATGTTATACATGTTACATTTGTTGTCTGGGATAAAAGTTCTACTGACAGTTTTAATTTTGGATTCAAACTGTTTGTACTTTAGACAACTGAAGTGAAGGTGTTACGCTCTGGAAAACTTGCTGTATTTAAAAAGTGGTTTTGGTCAAAGATTTATATAATGAGTTTCAATGAAGAAAGATTTTGTAAAATGTGAAAGAATTAAAAACAAAATGTCTAAAGTAGTTTTTTACTTGTTGAAATATGTGTAACTAAGTTAATATGTGTAATTAAATTAAATATTCTAACATTAGGCTGTTTCATTCTCATTTTTTCAAATTGGCCCTCAAAAGTACTTTTGCTCTTTAGAAACATTTGTATTTTGTCATTTACTATAAAGTTCTGGAGACCCAGTACTCTGGTTCTTAATCACCACACAGTTCCTTTTCATTTTGCTAATTTGGAGGGCTTTTATAGTCTAGCGTTTTTCTGTTTTTCTAGTGGTTAAGTTTAAAGTGTTAAGTCATACATTTCATACACTTTAAGATTGGGTGAAGAGAGAAACTTTTTATTTTATGTTTTTGATAGCCCCAAAGACCCTGCACAGAAGCACAAGAACTCTCCTCTGTCGAGTGTAAGTAGCCAAACGATAACCAAGGAGAATAACAGAAATGCCCATTTGGAACACCCAGAGCAGAATCCTGGTTCATCAGCAGGTGACACTTCAGCAACGCACCGGGCGTTTTAGGAGAAAACTTGATAGCCACAGCCCTTGGTCTTTCTGGCGGTGGGTCTCAGTCTGATTTGAAGGACGTGGCCAACAAAGCAGGAGAGGAGGGGGACACGCGCCTGCGGGAGAGCCTCCATCCAGTCACTCTTAAGGCAGGTTGCCACACAAAGCAGCTGGCCTCCGGGAATTGTTCTGAAGAGAAATCCCCACAAGCCTCCATCCTAAAGGAAGGTAGCAGGGACACAGGCTTGGATTTCCGACCTGTAGTACCTCCAGCAAATGGGGTTGAAGGAGTCAGAGTGGATCAGGATGATGATCAGGATAGCTCTTCCCTGAAGCTTTCTCAGAACACCGTACAGGTCAAGTATCAAGTTTCTACTACTAAAATGGAATTGGGGCTTTTTATTTATTTATTTCGAGGGTGTGCGAGATTTCTCCACACTTGGTGGAGAATTACTCAGTCTCTATTTTTCACTGGCAACTCTCATACACTTTTCATACCGCGCTATGCAATGACTTCATTCTTGGGTTCAATAAATAATAAAGCCAGGAGCCTAAACGCAGGGAGTAGTCCCTGTCTAAATGCAGGGACTAGGAGCTATATGCCTTACTTTATGATTTACATGTACTCTCTTTCGCTGAGTAATTGATGTGTGTAGGTCATTCGTATTCATCCTTCCCATCTGTGTTCTTGCAGGAGTAATACTTGTTAAGTCTCTGACCTACATCTTAAGAAGTACAGTGTATCCTGCCTTCTAGCAACGAATGTGCTTTGTTGTGGGAGCAAGGATGCGCACAATAGGTTGTAGGGGGCAAAATTCTTATCTTGGACTCAAGACTGTCAGTGTTGGGTCTTGTTCAGGTTATCTTGTGGGGTAAATGCTTAGTGCAGTATGGGTGCCGGTCATTTGCCAGAATCACCATGACTATGAAGCTGATAAGGGAGAGAGTCAAAAGTTAGCTTCCTAGTTACTTGTGGCAGATTTCTAGGTGAAAGTATTAGAGTAAGTCTACCTTTTAAAATGTCTGTGAGCAATTCTGAATGTTATTGTTTCTTTCTTTATAGACTGACTTTAAGACGGCTGATTCAGAGGTAAACACAGATCAAGATATTGAAAAGAATCTGGTAAGTACTTATGCTCGTTGATACATAGAACCATTATTGCAGAAGGTCTACAGTGACATCATCTCAGCTGAAAAGACACCGGCATCTCTATAAAATTTGTGGCTGGTGGTCAGCTAACTTCTGTTTGATCACTTGTAAACATGAGACATTTATTCACAGATAGTTTATTGTTAGAGCTTATTCGGAGTTAAGAACAGAATCTTGGCCTCCTTGGTGGTACAAGGGGTTAAGTCACAGCACTATGAAGCTATCTACAGCCACTGCAGCACTGCATGAGTTCGATCTCTGGCTGGCCAGAGAGCTGACCCACATGGCACAGCAGACCTGAGTTGTCCAAGGCTCCCCTCCGCAGTTTATTTCAGTAGATTCGCCTGTTCTGTTCCCCACTCTGTCTCTGGTGAATTCTTTCACACACACACCTCCTGCCCACGCGCCTCTGGCCTGTGCCCCAGTTCTCATATGCATAAATAAATAAATTTTTTTTTTAAAAAAGAACAGAACCTCAAAAACTTTAGTTTTCTTTTGAGCTATGGAGTGTAAATCCAAATACTTTTGTGAGCCCTACATCTACTTCAAGTTTTTATTTTTTTTTTTTTTTTTTTTTTTTATAGAGGCATGCTTTATTTATTTGTTGCTGGTTTGTTTGTTTGTTTATACATGCACTGGGTACAGTCAGAAGCGCGGGAGGGTGAGAGAATTCACCAGAGCCAGAGCGGGGAGCAGAGCAGGCAGAAGGACCGAAGTACACTGCTGAGGGAGCAGCGGGCGGCAGGAGAAGTCTGCACGCCATTGGGACCTCCTCCGGTGGCCGGGAGCAGCCGGGGATCGAACCGGCGCCGCAGAGGCCGCGGGCAGCTTCGCAACCAGCGCTCAACCGCTGCGCCACCGGGGAGGCCCTACTTCAAGTTTTTAAATGATACTTCCTGTTCCCCCCTTAAGTCAGAACCTTTTCCAGGTAAAAAAGCCACAGGTGTTTTACTACTTTTCTTGAACCCTTCAACCCTTATCATTTTCAACCCTTTCATTATCCTGGTTACTTTTTCACCTAGACATGTGCCATTTTATCAATATTTCTTTCAAAATGTGATCCTGAGCACTTATTATAATACAGATGCATTATAATCAATTCACAATACAATTGACCTCATGTGTTATTCAACTATCTATTTTATTCCTATGTAATTGACTTTTAAAACTTATATGAAGAACATCACATTTGTTTTTATTAAAATGGTCTCCTGAAACTATTCCTGGCATTTTGTGGCAAAAACTTCCAGCCTTTAAGCGTGTGGATACTGAAATATATATTGCTCTAGAGGAAGGATGGGCGTGCTGGAAAGCTACTCCAGGATCAGGAAGAGGTGTTTAGGGTAAGATACACTAATTGAGTGGGTGGGAAAAGCCTGTAGCAGCCAGATTAGAAAGTAGGTAAATGGTGCAACTTACAGTCAAAAGAAGTAAGTCATTGGACACATTGACCAGATGAAGCCAATGAAATTCAGGACAGGTAGAACTGATAGACAGGTAAGATGATCCTAGAGACGAGAGACCTGTGGAGAGACGAGAGACCTGTGCTGGGTGAAAACCAGGCTTGTTGACTCTCCAAGGACAGAAGGCGAGGTCACTTTTCTTGGGCACTTACTCTAAGCATTTTACACGGAGTTTTTATTTTGTTCCCACAGTTGTAAGGTGAGGTTAAGATGACATTTTTCTAGTTGAAGGGACCAACTAAAAAGTTAGAGGAAGCTCCAGTGGTAATCCAGTGGGTCAAAAACAGCCCAGGTTGGATTTTTTGTTTGGCTGTATTCTTTTGAGGGGCATGTGGCCCACTTGCTTTTAAAAAGCAGTGAGCTTGGGCCTCCCCTGGTGGCACAGCAGTTCAGCGCTGGACTGAAAAGCTGCGCACAGCCTCAGCAGCACCGATTAGATCCCAGGCCGCCTGGTGAGGGTCCCACATGGTGCGCAAACCTCTCCTGCCACCCTCTGCGCCCCTCAGCAGTGTACTTCGTCACTCTGCCGCGCTGGCTCAGGTGAATTCTCTCACCCTCCCGCGCTTCTGACTGTATCCAGTGCTTGTATGAAAAAATAAATAAATCTTAAATAAAATAAATAAATAAATAAATAATTCTTAAAAGAAAGCAGTGAGCTAGCCAGGTGTTAAACTTGGTGGCAATATATGAAACTTGGTTCCTGTTTTAATTGTCATGGTTCTTGTGAATGTACTGTAATTTCCCACTGCCCACATTTGAAACTATGACTCCTGACTCTCTGGACCAGTTAGCCTCTGAAGAAACAAGGTAACAATGTGTAACAACTCTTTGACTTGTTAAGATGGGATCACTTGAATAAAGCGACTTACTGTGTATCTTTAAATTCATCTTGGTACTGCTAGAATGTATCTGGAGATGCTCTCTATGAGACTGGATTTTTTCTCCACCCATCCTATGTTTTTCTAAAGATGTATCACAGAGAAGGTTCCATAGGGAAGTAAAGACAAGCTGTGGTTACAAAGAAAGAATCTGCTAATCTAATTTCATCTATTGGTTCATAGCGATCTAACTTTTCTTGAGTTAAGGTCCTCTTTCAGAATCTTTTGAAACTGATTCTCAAAAATATTTGCACACATACCAATTTAAGAAACTTCAAAAGGTGGGTCTCCCTGGTGGCGCAAGGGTTAAGACAACCTATGAAGCTATCCGCAGCCACTGCAGCAGAGTTTGATTCCCAGCCTGGGAGCTGACCCACAGGGCTCAGCAGACCTTTCCTGTCTTGCCCGCTGCTCCCCTCAGCAGTGTGTTTCAGTGGATCCACCTGTTTTGCTTCCACTCAGTCTCTGGTGGATCCTCTCACCCCCTGCACCTCTGACCTGCACCACAGCTCCTGTATACATAAATAAATAAAATTAAAAAAAAAAAACTTCAGAGATCCCTGAGACCCATTGGTAGACCCCAGGTTCAGAATCCCTGTAAAATGTTGTGCTCAGGAGTTGATTTAGGGAACCTTAGTCATATTGCAGTACATGAACTGACACTGGATATCCTAAAACTAAAGGTCCTTCTTGAGAGCTTTTTTTTTTTTTCAATCATAATGTGATAAATATTCCCCATTTATTTCTCAAACCTTTGTTTGCTTTGAAAATAGTTATCTTTTAATGAACAAACTTAGTTTAATGCTCTCTGTGTAAATTTTCCTGGCTGCTTTACATCAGATGTGTTTTATTTATTTTTTATTTTTTTAATTTAAATTTTATTTTTATATTCCCCATACAATTACAACCTCCTTATTTTGACCCCAATCCCTCCTTTCCCCACCCCCCCACCCCCATAGAGTGTCTCTGGTTCATAGTTGTTTGTTGATTTTGATTTTCACTTTCTTATAGTTATTCATTTTCCTGGTCCCTTATTTAAGTTTTCTAGATTCCTGCTATGAGTGAGACCATCCGGTATTTTTCTTTTTCTTTCTGGCTTATTTCGCTGAGCATGATCCCTTCCAGCGCCATCCATGTTGCTGCAAATTGCATGTGTTTATCTTTTTTGAATGCTGAGTAATATTCCATGGTGTATATGTACCACACATCAGATGTGTTTTGAATTGATCTTCAACATGCTAGTATCCTTTTGAAAGGTAGCCATTGCTTTTCTTGATTTACTGATATGGAGGAGGCCAAATTTAACTTGTTAAGTCCTCAAAAGCTTTCTACTTCTGGGGGCCTCCCTAGTGGCGCAAGGGGTTAAGATGCAACTTATGAAGCTATCCACAGCCACTGCAGCACGAGTTTGATCCCTGGCCAGGAGGGTGACCCATATGGCGTACAGACCTCTCCTGACTCGCCCGCTGCTCCCTCAGCAGTGTATTTCAGTACATTTGCCTGTTCTGTTCCCCACTCTGTCTCTGATGAATCCTCTTGCCCCCCCACACTTCTGGCATCACTAAACAAATCTTTAAAAAAATAAAAAATAAAGTTCTTTTAAAAAAAAAAGCTTTCTACTTCCTACTTTGTATAAGAACTTGCCAAATTGTTCAAAATCTGAATACCAAATTCCCAGACCTTCTTAGTGGATTTGGCAGGTTTCACTAATGACCAGCTAAGAATTCCAGCTTCTGGACGCATTGTGAGTAGGTGATCTGTTCTTTATTTTTGCCCATTCTTTTCTTTTTCTCTTGGATGGATAATAAAATGCCTCTGTCCTCTCATTCTCTAGAGTGGAGATTGGCATTTTTTTCTGTAAAGGGTCAGATAGTAAATATCTTAGGCCTTGTGGCTCTAAGTAACCACTCCACTGTCTCACTGTAATGTGAAAACAGCCTGTGTAAATCATTGGATGTGGCTGTGTTCCTATAGAACTTTTATTTATAAAAACAGCTGATAACTGGATTTGGCCCATAGGCTGAATGTTATCAACTCCTGCCTTTGGGCAGTATTGTACAGTAGAATTTTCTGTAATGATTGAAATGTTATCTGTGTTATCTAGTATGGTAGCCACTGGTGTGGCTCGTAGCCACATGTGGCTACGAGCACTTGCAATGTAACGAGGTGGCTGAGAGGTCAGATTTTAAAATTTTCTTATTTTAATTAATTTAAATTTACATAGCCACTTTTGGCTAGTAGCTACAATCTTTTTTTTTTTTTTTTTTTTTTAGTAGCTACAATCTTATACCTTGCAGTCATAGAGCTATGCACAAGACCTTGAACAGACACTTGTGAATATTTCTTGTAATTAAATTGATGAATTAAAACTTTTCTTTTGTTATCAATAGGATAAAATGATGACAGAGAGAACCTTGTTGAAAGAGCGTTACCAGGAGGTCCTGGACAAGCAGAGGCAAGTGGAGAATCAGCTCCAAGTGCAATTAAAGCAACTTCAGCAAGGAGAGAGAGGAAGAAATGAAGAATCACCAGGTGCTCTGCTTATATTAAAATAGTCAATAAGTCAAGCTGTAATCTGTAATCACACTTTAATTTTGTTTCCAAATTAATAGAAAATGTATAGTGTTCCTGGACCCAGTTTCCAAAGTGGATGTATGAAGGCTTTCACACACCAACAAGCAATTCTTAGACACCCAGCAGGGTGTCTGGGGATTCAACTTAATTCAGCTCAATTCTGGCGCTATATGCCCAGAGATAGCTGATTTCATGGATTAAGTACTCAGTCTCCCAAGAACCGCCTTTTACTCAGATGCCAGCCACAAGCCCAAGCTGTTGCCTTTGCATATGACCAAGAGTACAAATCAGATGTCCCCACAACCTCCTCTCCTTTGACTTCAGTTGCCAGTGCAAGCCCAGGTTAATATGTGTGCTTCTGACCAACTGGCTGGATATCAGAGGTTCCCGGGACCCCTCCTCAAGTTCAGCTATTTTTACTACAGCCGCTCATAGAACTTAGGCAACCTGTTTACTCTCTAGATTTATTACGAGGGATATAACTCAGATAATGCTAGCCAGGTGGTAGAGGTGCATAGGGCAAGTTATGGGGAAAGGGAGCAGAGCTCCAGTGCCCTCTCCAGGCTTGCCACACCCCTCAGATCTCCCATATTCACCTATCTGGAAGCGCTCTGAAAGCCTTCCTTTTGGGGGCTTTTATGGAGACTTTTTTTTTTTAGATTTATTTATTTATTTATACAATCACTGAGTACAGTCAGAAGCGCGGGAGGGTGAGAGAATTCACTGAGCCAGAGCGGGGAGCAGAGCAGGCAGAAGGACTGAAGTACACTGCTGAGGGGAGCAGCGGGTGGCAGGAGAGGTCTGCGCACCATGTGGGACCCTCCTCCGGTGGCCGGGGAGCAGCCCGGCATGGAACCGGCTCTGCAGAGGCTGTGGGCAGCTTCTCAACCCAGCGCTCAACCGCTGCGCCACCGGGGAGGCCCTGGAGGCTTCTTTATACAGATATAACTGATTAAATAATTGCCCATTGGCAATCGAGTTTAAATCCCAGCCTCTCTCCTGGGAGCCAGGAGCCTTCTATTTGTGTTGTTTTTCCAAAGGTACATTAGCTTAACACGAAACACCTTTACCAAGCTCAGTGCTTAGGAAATGCCAAGATTTTGGGAGCTGTGAGGACCAAACATATATGTTTTAAAAATAACAGAAGTAGAAACAAAAAAAGTAGTTTTACTCTTTTTAATGGTTATCATAGTATTTTAAGGATAAAAATAACCTTTGAGGGCATCTTTTCAAAGCCCTCACTTCTATTTTAGTTCAGAGAGAAAAATGATTATATTTTGTTGACTTAATTAACTACCTGGTTAATGAGATTTATCTCAACATTATATTTTATAGCACACTTCAGGTAGATTAAAAACCTACATATAAAAACTACAAATAAATTTTAAGTTAGAAGAATATTTATAAAACCTCAAGTTGCAAGAGGTCATTTTTAGCAATTTTTGATATGGCACATGATTTAACTTTTGATATGGCAAATAACACAAAAGTGTCAAAAGTGTTAACCGAGAGAGAGTATTTGTAGCACATTTGACGAAGGATTGAACAGCCATGCCATACTGAGATTCCTACAAATTCATGTCAAAAGCAAACAGACTGGAGAAAACCCAGGAAAGGTGATAGTTTTCTGTTGCTACCTTAACAAGTTACTGTGGATTTAGCGACTTAACACAAATTTACTATCTTACAGTTCTGTAGGTCAGAAGTTCAACATGAATGTCTAAAATCAGGGTATTGGCAGAGTTGCATTCCTTTCTGGGACTTTTGGAAAGAAAATGTGTATCTGCATTTCCAGCTTCTAAGCGCTTGCCTTGTGGCCCCCTTCTCCATTTTCAGAGTCAGCAACATTGCATCTCTGGTTATTCTTCTCTAATGTTGTCCTTCTCTAAGCATAACTGGGAAAGGGTCTGTAAAGGCAGGAATGGCCACAGTGCAGGTTCTCTGATCCCATGCAGACCGGGTAAAGGAGGAGTCAGAGTCCTCAGTGGTTTTGCAGGTTTTTTATTGGGGTTCACCAGGCATATGGCAGGCAGGGGTGCTGGCTGGGGGGCTGGGAGGCCTCCCAGCCCCCAGCAAGTCTTCACTGTATCTGGACTCTCTAGCGTTCGTTCTGCTGCTTCTCGGCTTCTCTTTCAGCTTCTCTTTCGGCTTCTACTGCTGCTCCTGGTGTCCCCATGACGCCACCCTTAAAAAGCACAGTCTTAGCTCAGCTGAATCCCATCTACCTATGCCCACACCCTATTCCAGGTGCCCGCCATCAGGCATGCATTCAGGACAAGGATCCATCATCTATCCTGATGGCGGAAGGGCAGAAAAGCCTGACATTTTCTTTACCCTACAGGGTCTCCACTTTTTTTATTTTGTTTTTTAAAGATTTATATATTTATGCATACAAGAGCTGGGGTACATACAGGTCAGAGATGCGGGTGGTGTGGTGGTGGTGAGAGGATCCACCAGAGACAGAGTGGGGAACAGAACAGGCAGACTGACTGAAATACACTGCTGAGGGGAGCAGTGGGTGAGTCAGGAGAGGTCTTCTGCGTCATGTGGGTTGCTCCCTGGAAGGCCAGGGATCGAGGCCGGGGATCGAACTCATGCTGCAGAGGCTGCAGCTTGCTTCATAGTGCGGTGTTTAACCCCTTGCACCACCAGGGAGGCCCCGGGTCTCCACTTTTAAAGACCTGTGTTGTGTGATTGAATTGGATTTGACCCACTCAGAAAATCCTAGATTATCTCCCCATCTCTAGGTCTTTACTTTCATCGCATCTGCAAAGTACCTTTTTCCATGGGAAGGTTCCAGGGGTTAAGATAATGGATAAATTTAGGGGGAAGGGACTATTATTTTATCAACAACAATTGAAAATAGTAATTCACAGAAGAGGAAAAGCAAATGGGAAATATATATATGAAAAGAAGTCAGCCTCATAGTATTCATTCATTCAGCAAATATTTTTTTGAGTTTCTGTCTGCACTCTGAAGATTTAGTGGCAAATAAAACATAGTCTCTGCTGTCACTGAATGCTCATTCTTGTTGGAGGAGCCAGGCAGTAAAAACAGTAAAGAATGGGATTGAGGGGAAAGCTCATTAAAATTATTAGTTGCTCTTCCTCCTCTATGAGTCTGACAAACGTGAAATAAGTTGTCAAGAGTGAGGACAAATGAGCTCTTTTCATAGATTGGTAGGGTTATGAACTATTACATCACTTTGGGCAAAGTTATTAGGAATTGTCAGTTAAAATGTAAAATATATGTATGTCATGACCTAACAATCTTATTCATAAGTGTCTTGTACAGAAATAAAAGTTTTTGTATGAAAGTGTAGAAATAAAGAGTGTTTATTGTAATATTGTTTATAGTTACAAAAAAACTGGAATCAACTTGATGGACTTTTAATAGAGAATAGTTGGATAAATTGTTTATATTCATAATATATCATGTTATGCAGCTATTTTTGAGTAAGAGCTGTATTTGCTGACAGTATGTTGATGTCACGTGAAAAAAACAGAATGCAGAATAATGTGTCTAAAATGATCTCATTTAGAAAAACCAAAGAAATACATGTGTGAATTTATATTGTTTGAGGTTGGCGAAAGATGGTACAAAACAGTTAACACATTGATTCCTTGATGGGTGGCGATAGTGTGAATTGGGGTTGACTTAACTTTATCATTTTTTATTATTTTACTTCATAGTATAAATATATGTATATGTATTTATATATCAAATATATGTGAGAGGTAAAAAGTAGAGCAAAAAATAACCTCACCAATAATAAATTAGTACCATAGCAAAACAAAACAAGACCATATTTGTTGGAAGCAGAAACTCCCACCCTGTGCAAGAATGCCTTTCTCAGCATTCTCGACAGGTGTCCTTCCTGTGGAACACAGTAATGGAGAGCTTCTTGCTTCCCAAGGCCGTTGGGTCCATTTCTGAACATTGTGATTGTTAGGACTTCTTTGTCCTATTGAATTAAAATCTGCTTTATTGTAACTTTCTCCCTTGTATCTAAATACTGATTTCTGGAGCTACTCATCAACCAGATTCCTTCAATTCAATTTAATTTACTCAAGTCAATATGTTAATTTGTGATAGTGGAAAATAACCTTTGGACCACAAGAACTAATTAATTTCCTTTTTTTGTGTGTGTGATTGTAATTGTGTGGGATTCAGGAAATATTAAAGGCTATCCAGGATGTAACAATAAAGAGAGAAGAAACAAAGAAGAAGATAGAGAAAGAAAAGAAGGAGTTTTTGCAGAAGGAGCAAGATTTGAAAGCCGAAATCGAGAAGCTTTGTGAGAAGGGCAGAAGGTAAATGATTCTATTAAAAATAAAACCACCTGTGTATATGTATGTTTGTGCAAAAGGGCCAGCCGCCTTAACTGTGTTTATGATTTCTTTAGATCTAATTTTCATTTGAAAACCAAGTGCACAAATAAATATCCTTTAATGATTTTAGTTTTTTCACCATCCATTGTGAGATTTAATTTAAAAAAAAATTCAGAGATTCATTACTACCTTGAAATAATAGAAACTTATTTTTTTTTTTTTTTTTTTAATAGAAGGCATGTTTTTCTTTATTATTTGTTTGCTTGTTTGTTTGTTTTGTTTATACATGCACTGAGTACAGTCAGAAGCGCGGGAGGGTGAGAGAATTCACCAAGCCAGAGCGGGGAGCAGAGCAGGCAGAAGGACCGAAGTACACTGCTGAGGGAGCAGCGCGGGCGACAGGAGAGTCTGCGCGCCATGTGGGACCCTCCTCCGGTGGCCGGGGAGCAGCCGGGATTGAACCGGCGCCGCAGAGGCCGCGGGCAGGTTCGCAACCCAGCGCTCTACCGCTGCGCCACCGGGGAGGCCCTAGAAACTTATTGTTGAGTCTCAAGTGTGATCAAGATTTTGATATGCATCAAGCACCTCTCTTGTTTGCTTTTAACTGAATTTTTGTTAAGTATGGATTATAAGAATACTTTCACTATATTTCTGTTATTTAGCACCAAGAGCAAATTCTAAATACTAATGATATAAGCTCTTTAGAAGAAATATTCAGTGAATCTCTTTCTCTCTGGGTACTGCAGCAAAAGCATGAAAGGCATAGAATCTGGTCAGATTTTTAAGTTTTCCAAGTTTCTCAATGTGTGCTGTTTGGATGATTTTATTTAAATTCTAAAATGCATTTTTATTTATCAAGAAAATCTTGGCTTGCAAATGTTTCAGAGAGCTAAAGAAAAAGTAGCAAATTCATTTGCTGAATCATTTTCTGAGGGCTGAAAGGTCAACTCGTGAAAGAATGTTTGAGACAGTTGTTCTCATCAGTTGTTCTGTTGAGAATCTATTGATAATGATTAGAAGGTGTGTCAATTGACTACAATACTCTAGTAACTATAGAGTCCACTGGGAGTAAAATACTCTACCAGGTATTGTTAGCCGTCAAAATGGCTCCCACCACCTCCCAGCAGCATGTCCTCTGCCATTATCTTCAGCGTCTATGTGGGGAAGATGAAGCATAGATGTGTACATGTAAGCATCTTGGCAGCAGATATCTTAAAGAGCAGATGAGCAGACATTGGGAAAGTGAGTCTGGAATTTTATTCTAAGCTCCATGAAAGATTTCTTTTTGATGTGTGCTCTTTACACTCTTAATTCTATTTTCCTTACCATTTGATTGGATATACAAATGGTGATTGATACTAACATTTTGCTGCTTAGTCTTAAAGACTCAATTTGTTTTTTCTTTTGGTTTGTCGTGAGTGTCAGAAGTAGGCTTTCTGACTTTCTCTTAGACATAGGTTTCATTTTTTCCAGAAGCAGGGGAAAAGATGTTTTCTGTGTGTATTTTTTGTTTTTTTTTGTATTTTGTTTTTGTTTCACCTTTCATCATCCATAGGAACCGTGGGCACAAAGATGTTGGGCATTGCATCAGTATGTTCAGTTAGCCATAGTAGTGCACCACAGACTGGGTGACTTGTACAACAGATATTCATTTTCTCACAGCTCTAGGGAATGTCTAAGATCCAGACCGTGGTGGGTTCAGTTTCTAATAGGCCTCTCTTGGCTGCCTTCTTGCTGTGTCTTCACATGGCCTATCCTCTGTGAGTGTGCACTCACGGTGTGTCTCCTCTTCCTGTAAGGACACCAGTCCTATTGAAGTAAAGCCCTGTCCTTATGACCTTAAACTTTAAGGGCCTTATTGCCACATGTAGTGACATTGCAGGTTAGGGCTTCAACATATGAAATTTTGTGGGGACATAGTCCAGTCTTTAATGATCATATTTCATGTTCATAGCTCTTTCATTCATTCATTCAGCCAACATTTATTACCTACTTTGAGCCAGACAATATGAGCCTGGAGAACAAAACTTCCTTAAGGAACTTATATTTAATAGGGAAATAGATAATTAAAAAGATAAGTACAAAATACCATAATGATACATTGATAGTTTTGATATGAAACAACATAGAAGAGGCATATAACCCAGATCGGGTAGGGGGAATTAGAGAGGGATCTCAGAGGAGAACATGACCACCCAATACAGTGTATGATCCTGAATTAAATTATAAAGAATGTTTTAGAATAATTGGAAGGTCATACTGTATTACTGTTAAATATTTTGGGTGTGATTATGATATTGTGTGATAGGTAGAAGGTTATTTTTGTGTTTGAGATATATTTTAGAAGTGTTATGATGTCTGTAACTTTCAGATGGTTCAGAGAGAAAGTTAACTTAAATGTGAAAAAAAAGTGCAAGAACTGTGACTCGCGCAAGGGGTTAAGCGTCAGCACTATGAAGCCGTCCACAGCTACTGCAGCACGAGTTCAATCCCAGGCCAAGGAGGTGACCCACATGGCGCAGCAGGCCTCTCCTGTCTCACCCGCTGCTTCCCTCAGCAGTGTATTTCAGTCTGTCTGCCTGTTCTGCTCCCCACTCTGTCTCTGGTGAATCCTTTCCACCCCCCCACCTCTGGCCTGTACCCCAGTTTTTGTGTGTATAAATAAATAAATCTTTAAAAAAAGAGAAATATACATTTGAGTTTTCTCCATATCTTTTTTTTTTTTAAGATTTATTTATTTATGCATACAAGAGCTGGGGTACAGGCCAGAGGTGGGGGGGGGGTTGGTTAGAGGATTCACCAGAGACAGAGTGGGGAACAGAACAGGCAGGCTGACTGAAATACATTGCTGAGGGGAGCAGCGGGTGAGACAGGAGAGTCTGCTGCACCATATGTGGTCCTCCCTGGCTGGCTGGGGATCCAACTCGTGCTGCAGAGGCTGCAGATTGTTCCATAAGTGCTGTGTTTAACCCTTTCTGCCACCCGGGAGGCTCTTTCCATATCTTTTCATGACTTGATAGCTCATTTCTTTTTAGTGCTAAATAAATACCCTATGGTTTAGATGTACCACAGTTTTTTTAATCCATTTATCTACTGAAGGACATATTGGCTACTTCCAAGTTTTGGCAATTATGAGTAAAACTGCTATAAACATCCATGTCTTGGTGTTGTGTGGACCTAAGTTTTAAATTCCTTCGAATAAATGCCAAAGAGTGTAGTTGTTGAACTGCACGGTAAGAGTATGTGTAGTTTTGTAAGATACCACCAAACTATCTTCCAAAGTGGCTGTACTGCTTTGCATTCCCACCAGCAATGTACCAGTTATTATCACCAACCTTTGGTGTTACCAGTGTTCTGGATTTCGGCTGTACTAATAGGTATGTAGTGGTAGCTCATTGTTGTCTTAATTTGAATTTTCCTTATGACAAATGATGTAGACCGTATTTTCATATGCCATAATATCTTCTTTGGTGAGGTGTGTCTTTTAAAGTCTTTGACCCATTATTAATCAGGTTGTTACTGTTGAGTTTTAAGAATTCTTTATATATTTTGGATGACAGTTCTCCCTCAGATGTCTTTTACAAATATTTTATCCCACTATGTGGTTTGCTTGTCTTTTAATTCTGTTGATACTGCCTTTCAAAGAGCAGACATTTTTAATTTTAATGAAGTCTGACTTTCAGTAATCACTTTCATAAATCATGTCTTTGGGCATAACCATACCCAGGTTCAACTAAGTTTTTGCCTGTTATCTTCTAGGATTTTTTGCATTTTGTATTTAGGTCTGTGATCCATTTTGAGCTAGTTTTTTGTGAAAAATAGAAGCTCTGTATTTAGATTTTTTTTTTTAATGTGTATATTCAATTGTTCCAGCACCATTTGTTGAAGAGACTCTGCTCCATTTTATTGCCTTCACTACTTTGTCAGAATTCAGCTAGCTATATTTATGTAGGTCTGTTTCTGGCCTCTGTTCCATTCTTATTGATCTGTTTGTCAGTGCCACACTGTCTTGATTACTGTAGCTCTACAGTAAGTCTTGAACTCAGGTAGCATTAATACTCCAATTTTTTTCCTCAGTATTGTGATGGCTGTTCTGGGTCCTTTGCCTTTCATATAAACTTTAGGATCATTAGTTGTTAATATCTGTAAATTAACTTGCTGGAATTGGGATTGCATTGAATGTGTAGATCATGTTGGGAAGAACTGACATCTTGACTGTATTGAGTCTTCCTGTCCATGAGCAGGAAATACCTATTCATTTAGTTGTTCTTTGTTCAGCAGAGTTGTGAAGTTTTCTCATAAAGATCTTGTACATATTTTGTTAGATTTGTAGCTACAGGTTTCGTTTTTTGAGTGCTAATGCAAATAGTATTTTGTTTTTAATTTCAAAAATTACAAAAAGGAAAGCAGTAGACTTTTATATTTTAGCCTTGTATCCTTCATCCTAGCTATAATTTCTTACTACTTAAGGACTCTTTTTCTCTGTTTTTCCTATTTTCTACATATATAACCATGTCATCTGCAAACAGACAGTGGTATATCTTCCTTTCCAATCTTTATACCTTATATTTCCTTTCTTTGCCTTACTGCGTTAACAAGGACTTCCAGTATGATGTTAAAAAGGAATGGTGAGAAGGGACCTCCTTGTCTTAAACCTGCTGTGAAAGCTTTGAGGTTTTTACCATTCAATATGATGCCTTAAGCGCTTTTTTGCAGTTGATTTTTATCAAGTTGAGAAAGTTCTGATCCATTTCTAGTTATCTGAAAGTTTTTATCATGAATGGATGTTGGATTTTGTCAAGTGCCTTTTCTGCTTCTATTAATATGATTGTGTGATTTTTCTTTTTAGTGTCTTGATGTCCTGGATTATATTAATTAATTTCTTGAGTACTGAACTAGCCTAGCATTTCTAGGATAATCTCACTTGGTCATTATGTAAATCTTTTTCTAATTATTTGGATTTGATTTACTAATATTTTGTG